ATGTGTGTAAAGGCAGGCTGCATGGCTAGCTGCTTGATTTTCTACATGAATTTTCTGAATGAAACACCTAAATTCAATGATTAAGAGGTGTGTCCCAATACTTTTGTCCATATAGTGTGTCCATGCACCGTCAGATTCGTAAACGTGTTCCATTCCAAAGAGGAAGGAAAGGAAACTGGCATGGCTTTAAAACTGAGTATCTTCCAAAGAGGACACCTTTGCTTATTAACAGAGGTTATATCTGAGCTTATCACAACCTTCCACACGACAGCTTCTGCATGGCTGCAGGATGTCCCCAACCCTGCAATGCACAAGCAACCCACCATCTCCACCACTCCACTGTCCCTCAGCATTACCCACACCTGACGTTCAGCTTCACTGTGCTGACCTGGCTGTACCGCAACTTTCAAAAACATGAAGTCGCTGTGGTTACTATGCAAAACTTTCCTTATTTTCTTTCTGTACAGGTAATTGTACATCTCTGTGCTATAGTTCCGTAGCTCTTCACTGTCTATGCCTTACTGGGTCGCTGTAGCAGTATAGCTAACCTCAGGCCACAGTTTCATCTTATCTACTCACTCTGTAAAAGTTGAGAGATGGGTGCTGTCAAAATAAGGTCACTACAACTTTTTAATATATTGTAAATAAGTAAAAACCTAGGGTTACAATAACTATTTCACCTGTTCAGAACATAAACACTCTAAATGGAAACCAAACAACAGCTTCGGCTATGAATCATGGGAAAGGTTAAAGTTCTATAGAATCAGCTGCCCAAATAGACTTAATATGTGACCTAGGGGTGGGCAGTATGACTATTTGAACATTATTATGATTAATTTTGTATAAACAGTGTGCTTTTCTGAGCATAATGTGGCTGTCCTCTGTACTTAAAGAACACTCATTGGCTGTAGGGCTGTCAAAATTTGCCAAAAATGACATTATTGCTTCTAAAAAAACACAAAGGCTTGGACCTTTTGAATATCTGTTTTTGCACGTTATGTCCATAAGAGGACAAACCAGTACAACAAGAGTGTTGCATCCACTTTAGTTCCCCCTCAAATTCACAATCTCTTCATGAATCAAGGCCCCAGGATTGCCATTCACTGAGAAGAAATCAGCACCAAACAACACTGCGTCTATGTTGTCAAAGGGTTGTCACCAATTAGACTAATAAATCAAGGCATAAGACTTTTTCACTCATTACGCTTTCTATGGTTTTAATGCAGTGTGAATGTGTTTTATCAGGGGAGCGTGAATTTGAGGAGGAGCTGAATTGGGGCAATTGGTGTGTATGTTTTTGAGATGTGCCCTCAGGTTGCTGAGTGCTGAAATGGTAGGCTGTAGCTGTAAACTGTAGCTTACACCACTCGCGTACAACTTTATCGCAAGGTTCCACAATGCCAGAACTTGCAAGGCAGCCAGTTGTAGTAAAGCTGCTTTTTTTGTAATCAAATATTGCTTTTCACAAACAGCAGTTTTTTTTTTTTTTTTTTTACAGTTTCATTATGTAATCGAATTTAGAATGTTTGTTGACAGACCTAATTGGCTGCATGTTTCATTACAACAAGCATAATTAGTCGGATTTAATTTGATTTGGAGTAGCACAGTAAGTAAAAATGTTTTTGATAGCAGTAAACGTTACTCTACCGAATGCATTTGTGTCAAAATATACAATACATACCGATCAGGCATTACATTCTGACCACCTCCTTGTTTCTACGCTCACTGTCCATTTTATCAGCTCCACTTACTTTATAGGTGAACTTTGGTAGTCCATCTGTTTCTCTGCATGCTTTGTTAGCCCCCTTTTACCCTGTTCTTCAGTGGTCAGGACCCCCATGGACCCTCACTGAGCAGGTACTATTTGGGTGGTGGATCATTCTCAGCACTGCAGTAACACTTTAAATATGAAAAAAGTCATTATTAATGCAGTGTTTTGTTTACTTGGGCTGATTCTGATGTAATTTCATAGTATGTTTGATTTAGCACCACTTTAGTAGTGGATCAGGTAAACTTGTGCTTATTTTGACAGAGTAGTCAGGGTTAATTTAAACCCCTGGTTTGACCAGTTTAGCTGAACTTGTGTTGCAAAGACTAAACCGATACACAGCAAGCCAATGACCTGAAACACATTACTATTGATTCCATGTGAAAAAGTGTAAGAGTTTGGACTGTTCGGTTCAGTGTCTTCATTTATATCCAGTGAAGCATGGACTTCAGTGGCCCCTCAACTAGAAAAGCCAGTAAGGCATGGTGTAGGATCAGGGCCATCAAACAGTGATCCAGTGAACTTAAGAAGCTTCTTAAAGGGCAATTCCACTGATTTTTCAAAACGTCTGCTTAATTCAGTGTTCAGATTCATTCAGAGTGGACTAATGTAAAATGGTTGATAGTAGAGACTCCGATTTCTTTACATTGGTGGTGATAGGAACCAGGGGTCGCCATGACTACCACACAAATATAGACATTTTTACTATCCAAAAGCACCAGTGAACCTACACGAGTCTTCTGAGTTTATATGGAATGTTGATGATGGAAAAATAGTGGAAAATCTGAGATAATAAGCTCCCTAGACACACGCGTCATTTCTTCTCTAATATGTGGTTAAGCGTCTCCTAGCCTTAATAATAGCTCCAGTCCTGTCAGGTCAGGATTACAGCTGTCTCTCTGACAGAGTTACTGTCCACTCTAGTTCACTCATCCACAAACTTTGTGCTTCATGTCTAAGTACAATACAACACTAACACTCCTGTGTTCCAGGATGATGATTGTAGGGTGTCTGTATGTGACCAGTACAGACATGATTTAACACTAGGACAGTTTGATTGACCAGCAAAATCACCAGACTTCAATCCCAACGGTCAGTGAGTGCGTTTACATGCACTTATTTATCCAACAACTGTCAGTAACTGGTTCAGTGTGTTTACACTTAATAATCTGATAACTGCAAAAAATCAGATTGTGGCAGTAACTGGTTCATTGTGTTTACACTCAATAATCTGATAACTGCAGAAAATCAGATTGTGGCAGTAACTGGTTCAGTGTGTTTACACTCAATAATCTGATAACTGCAGAAAATCAGATTGTGTCACTAACTGGTTCAGTGTGTTTTCATGCTCTTGAGTAATCAGATAATGGGAAACTCCAGGTCTACATGAGTCAGGCAGTAATCAGATTTCTGCTTTGCAACCGATGGATAAACTCACAGAATTAGACGTGATGTAAATAAAGCGTAAAACTCAAACTTCATGAGCAGCTTTTTATAAAACATTGAGACACTTTAGCAGAAAATATGAACATGCATCGTCTAGAAGATGAAGAATATTAGAATCCTTCATTTGGTTGAGCATGTCGTCGGTTTCAGCATCGCTCCAAAAGTGCTGTGTTGGTCTCGTGAGTGCTGTGTTAAACGCCGCTCGCTGTTTCCGGGATGACGCTCTGTTTTCACACATGCTCAGACTGAGAGAAACGAAAGAAATCAGAGTGAGAATTTACATGAACTAAGAAATCTGATTACTGAGCTCAGATCCAACCTCTTTATCAGATTTCTTAATCAGATTTAGAGACCATAATCTGATCTAACAAATCAGAGTGTGCTGTTTCCACAACCACTTAATAATCAGAAATCGGATAACGATCAGATAATTAAGTGCATGTAAATGTACTCACTGTAGACCAGCAGGTGAAATGCTGAAACAGACTCACAGGAACTCTGAGCTGATTTGTGGAAGAGTGGACTAGAATGGACAGGAACTCTTTGACGGGGACTGCTGTAATCCTGACCTGGCAGGATTGATGATGTTATTGAGGCAAGAAGATGCTTAACCAAGTATTAGAAAGGTAATGGTGCATCCAACTAATTGAGGGTAAATTTTCTTTGGGGGCTGTTGTGCTTCACAGTGCCCCACATGTATTCCTCCACCATGGAAGTTCTCAAAACATCATAAAACAGTGTCTCAGAAATCAGGCAGTGAATTCATAACCATTTCATGTAGTAACTTTCTGTGAGGAGCTTTTAGAGGTGGACGTCTGGTTCCTATCACCACCACTGATAGGTTTTTTTTTTGTTTTGTTTTGAAACATTGCACAGGTAAACAGATGAATAGGAACAGGTGATGCCATGATCGAGCATTCATGAAAGGGTCACTTTCTTAAAACTGCATGAGTGAACAGTCCAACTTTTCTCAACATATATTTGCAGTTAATTTAGGGATTTCACCATCTTAAGCCTATAACATTATTAAGATTCAGAAAATCCTGAGAAATATGTGTGTAAAGGACAAGCCTGAAAACCGGTACTGCATGCCCATGACCTTCGATCCCTCAGTTCATCACTGCATCCACAAATGCAAATTAAGACCCAGCAACACAAAGTGGAAGCCATTTATGAACCACATCCAGAAACGCCGCCGACTTTTCTGGGCTAAAGTTCATCTGAGATGGACTGATGTGAAGTGGAAAGTGGAAGTATGTGTTGGGGTCTGACAATGGAACATGGAAGTGAGTCAGGATTATGAGCAGTGTTGTGACTGTTTTGTGAATATACTGACTGTTTCACTGTAGATCAGACATGTCTGCTGTGAGTTCTGCAAAATAGTAAAAATCAAAGCTACATCCATAGAGGTCACTGTGTATTTGTAGTTATGACCTGCGAGTTGATAGGAAATATTATTCAATCATCTGTTAATCTTTAGAAAACACAGGAATAACGTTTTGTTTATTCATCGAAACGTATTTCATAGTTCACTGAAAAAAGTGATATAATTGTGTGGAAAATGCAGATTCTAAAATTTTATTCCATACCATATTTGTGTTTGTAAGTAGAAGAGATGTTTTACTGTGATTTGAATTTGATGTGAAGTATTTGTTTTGCAAAACAACAATAAATAACTCTAGACTTTTAAGTAAGGGTTAATACTCCACATTTAAGCAAGCTGGAGTTAAACTCAGTGGCTTATGTTTTATTGAAAAGCTTCTTTTGTTGTTTTTTTGTCTTTTAGCTCCCAGCAGTGACCAGTCCTGGCTCTCTGTCCTCTAACTTCAAGCCACTCGCACTTCTGTTTCAGCCAGTCACAGATTCTACTCAGTAATAGAGGCAAACACAGACGTGTGGAATAGTCTTTCTCAGCCATGTTCAAAACATGGCTAGTAGTAGAAATGATAAACAGTTTTTAAAACATGGCCTGGACGTGCTATAATTTAGCCCAGCCTATCTGTTGCCATGGTTACATGTGTATTAATTTATTCTATCATTAGAGCCAGTTAAAGCTTTGCAACACAATGCCTGCTTGTTTCCTCATAAGCACTGGAACCTAAACACTCAACAGGAACTCAAAATAAGTGACACTTATTTTTTTGCTGCATTTTTTAATTAAGTGTACTTGATTGGAACCTACAAAGTTAGTCTTGAAGAAATCAGAGCTCTTTAACCAGGGAGATTCCTACACTCTATCAAGATGATGTGCGAAGTGATGCCCACCATCTCCGAGGATGGTCGTGGAGGGGGTGTGGCCGGGAGTGGGACAGGGGGCGGGTCCGAGGGCGGTGGACTAGAGTGCGTAATGGTCAGCATGCTAGCAGAGAGAGAGCGACTGCTGGACAGCCTGAGGGACACGCAGGAGACCCTGAGCACCGCCCAGCTCCGCCTGCGAGAACTCAGCCATGAAAAAGAGTCACTGCAGAGACAGCTCTCCATCGCCCTGCCTCAGGTGAGCTCTAAAACTATCCATCGCCCTGCTTCAGGTGAACTCTAAAACTATCCATAGCCTTGCCTCAGGTGAGCTCTAAAACTATCCATAGCTTTGCCTCAGGTGAGCTCTTAAACTCTCCATTGCCCTGCCTCAGGTGAGCTCTAAAACTCTCCATTGCCCTGCCTCAGGTGAGCTCTAAAACTCTCCATACTGTGCCTCAGGTGAGCTCTAAAACTCTCCGTTGCCCTGCCTCAGGTGAACTCTAAAACTATCCATAGCCTTGCCTCAGGTGAGCTCTAAAACTATCCATAGCCCTGCCTCAGGTGAGCAATAAAACTGTCAATGGCCTTGCCTCAGGTGAGCTCTTAAACTGTCAGAGCAGGTACTTTAACACAAGTAAAAACGTGAATAGGGCACGTAAACCTTTATTTATGTAATACTTTACCAGGAATATCTCTACTTTCACTCAAATACTGAATTTGTGTGTTTCTGTGCCTCATTTGATGTTTCAATAATGATAGTAAAACCAGTAATAATGTTTACCTCAAAATGGATGTTTATGCTTTATGCTTGTGTTTATGTTTCAGGAGTTTGCTGTTCTGACTAAAGAGTTGAACACGTGCCGTGAGCAGCTGCTGGAGAGAGAGGAGGAGATTGCAGAGCTGAAAGCTGAGCGGAATAACACTCGCGTGAGAAACACTCTCAAACTCAAACGTGCACAGCAGTGACAGTTCAGAGTGCTCACAACATATACAGCACAATCAGGGCCATATGAAGACATTCTGGGACCCCCACTACACCCCATCAACACACCAGGGGACACACATAGACCCCCAAAGTCATGTAGTCGATGCCATGCCCATATTAGGGAATTCCAGGTCTAAGCTGTTTAACTCTTGGGAACAGTAATAGGGATTTTTAAAAAACTGCCACCAATTTTTCAACCTGTGGTAAACAAAAACATTTCAAACCAGACATGTGTTGTACTGCGTACATATTCCTACCCGAGTCACACTGGATCCTCTGAATTATGAGGTCATTTAGGGGTTAAAATACGATAATGTTACATACATGCTACAAACAAGCTCCCCTGCACACTGGAATTAGACGTCTACTATCACTTCCAAAAAGTCAGAGCAGAAACACATTTGGGACTTTTAACTGAATAAAATCCTTTTGCTTTGAATGACCCTAAAATGTGGTTTAATATGTGGATTAATAAGTGGTTTAGTATGTGGATTAGTCAGTGGTTTAGTATGTGGATTGGTAAGTGGTTTAGTATGTGGATTGGTAAGTGGTTTAGTATGTGGATTGGATAGTGGTTTAGTATGTGGATTGGTAAGTGGTTTAGTATGTGGATTAGTCAGTGGTTTAGTATGTGGATTGGTAAGTGGTTTAGTATGTGGATTGGTAAGTGGTTTAGTATGTGGATTGGATAGTGGTTTAGTATGTGGATTAGATAGTGGTTTAGTATGTGGATTGGTAAGTGGTTTAGTATGTGGATTGGATAGTGGTTTAGTATGTGGATTAGATAGTGGTTTAGTATGTGGATTGGATAGTGGTTTAGTATGTGGATTGGTAAGTCAGTGGTTTAGTATGTGGATTGGTAAGTGGTTTAGTATGTGGATTGGTAAGTGGTTTAGTATGTGGATTAGATAGTGGTTTAGTATGTGGATTGGTAAGTGGTTTAGTATGTGGATTGGATAGTGGTTTAGTATGTGGATTGGTAAGTGGTTTAGTATGTGGATTAGATAGTGGTTTAGTATGTGGATTGGTAAGTGGTTTAGTATGTGGATTGGATAGTGGTTTAGTATGTGGATTGGATAGTGGTTTAGTATGTGGATTGGTAAGTGGTTTAGTATGTGGATTGGATAGTGGTTTAGTATGTGGATTGGTAGTGGTTTAGTATGTGGATTGGATAGTGGTTTAGTATGTGGATTAGATAGTGGTTTAGTATGTGGATTGGTAAGTCAGTGGTTTAGTATGTGGATTGGTAAATGGTTTAGTATGTGGATTGGATAGTGGTTTAGTATGTGGATTGGTAAGTGGTTTAGTATGTGGATTGGTAAGTGGTTTAGTATGTGGATTAATAAGTGGTTAAGTATGTGGATTGGTAAGTGGTTTAGTATGTGGATTGGTAAGTGGTTTAGTATGTGGATTGGTAAGTGGTTTAGTACGTGGATTGGATAGTGGTTTAGTATGTGGATTGGATAGTGGTTTAGTATGTGGATTGGTAAGTGGTTACTACGTGGATTGGTAAGTGGTTTAATATGTGGATTAATTCATGGTTTAGTATGTGGATTGGTAAGTGGTTTAGTATGTGGATTGGTAAGTGGTTTAGTACGTGGATTGGTAAGTGGTTTAATATGTGGATTAATTCATGGTTTAGTATGTGGATTGGTAAGTGGTTTAGTACGTGGATTGGTAAGTGGTTTAATATGTGGATTAATTCATGGTTTAGTATGTGGATTGGTAAGTGGTTTAGTATGTGGATTGGTAAGTGGTTTAGTATGTGAATTAGAAGTGGTTTAGTATGTGGATTAGTTCATGGTTTAGTATGTGAATTAGAAGTGGTTTAGTATGTGGATTGGTAAGTGGTTTAGTATGTGGATTAGTTAGTGGTTTAGTATGTGCATTAGTTAGTGGTTTAGTATGTGGATTGGTAAGTGGTTTAGTATGTGGATTAGAAGTGGTTTAGTATGTGGATTCGTTCGTGGTTTAGTATGTGGATTAGAAGTGGTTTAGTATGTGGATTGGTAAGTGGTTTAGTATGTGGTTTAGTATGTGGATTAGAAGTGGTTTAGTATGTGGATTAATGATTGGTGTAGTATGTGGATTAGAAGTGGTTTAGTATGTGGATTAGTTCATGGTTTAGTATGTGAAATAGAAGTGGTTTAGTATGTGTTCAGCCTAAAGTTTACTAACAGTAGCTATCTGTGTTTTATAATTGTATGTGAGCTACATGTAGGTGATGTTAGATGCAGTATGTAACAAAACCCTTCCATGAAACTACAGATAAACTAAAAGGACAGATCTCCATGAATGATACTGTAGCTTTTGCTGTTATTCCATTTGCACACTCACAAGTGGCACCTGGTGGCCAGGGCCCTGAACTACAGCCTCTGTCTCACTCACTACCAGACTCTGTTCCCTTTTCAAACCAACTCAGATAACAGTGATAGATCTTACCCAGTGCTGACTGAGGAAGCTGAAGGTCTGTGTTCTGCTGTGTTTGTGGGTGTAGCTGCTGCTGGAGCACCTGGAGTGTTTGGTGTCCCGTCATGAGCGTTCTCTGAGGATGACGGTGGTGAAGAGACAGGCTCAGGCCCAGAGTGGAGTGTCCAGCGAGGTGGAGGTGCTGAAGGCCCTTAAATCACTCTTCGAACACCACAAAGCCCTGGACGAGAAGGTAAACACATTTCATGGCAACTACTGTTAATTATTTGAACTCACATGAATCCTTGAGGAATCCAAAATAATGCAGACTACAAATGAGCCAGACAAAAAATCAATCAGTTGTCAAAACCCAAAGAAAGCCCACCTGCCACTAATGTATCCAAAATACTGAATTACCATGTTCGTATATAATGTGATCTGCCCGGCTATGAGGTCAAAAAGATCCACTATCCAGTGGCTCACACTGGCTGATATTATCTGGCTATTTAGTTATATGGGATTTCCTCATGTTTGAGTCGCACTGGTTAACATGCTAATTTTTAGGCATTTTAAAACTGGCTGAAATGATCAACAGTAAACACACAAACTCTCATATAATAATATCTAGATTAGACTAGATATTCAAAGGTTTAATAATCAGAGCCGGAACGCCGTTCTGTATGGAGTTTTACTCCTAAAACAGTGTCCCAGTGCATTTTGGCCCATTTTCACCATAGTATGTGGATTGGTATCTGGTATAGTGTGTGGATTAGTATGTGGATTAGTATCTGGTATAGTGTGTGGATTAGTATGTGGATTAGTATCTGGTATAGTGTGTGGTTTAGTATGTATGTGGATTAGTATCTGGTATAGTGTGTGGATTAGTATGTGGTTTAATATGTGGATTGGTATCTGGTATAGTATGTGGTTTAGTATCTGGATTAGTGTCTAGTATAGTGTGTGGATTAGTATGTATTTGGATTAGTATCTGGTATAGTATATGGTTTAGTATGTATGTGGATTAGTATCTGGTATAGTGTGTGGATTAGTATGTGGTTTAGTATGTGGATTAGTGTCTAGTATAGTGTGTGGATTGGTGTGTGGTTTATTGAGTGGATTAGTATCTGGTATAGTGTGTGGTTAGTATGTATTTTAGTATGTATACTTTAGAATGTAGATAAGTCTGTGGTCTAGTATGTGGTTTAGTATGTGGGTTAATCAGTGGTTTAGTATGTGGACCAGTATGTATTTTAGTCTATGGATTGGTATTTGGTTTAGTATGTTGATTATGTTGATTAGTTTGTGGATTAGAGTGTGGTTTAGAATGTGGAGTAGTTTGTGGTTTCGTATGTATTTTAATAATTACTTTAGAATATGAATTTGTCTGTATTTTAATATTTGGATTAGTATGCAGATTAATCCGCTATATGCAGTAGTATGTGAAATAGCTTGTGGATAGGTATGTGGATTTATATGTGGTTTAGTCTTTGGAGTAGTCTGTGGTTTAGAGTGTGGTTTAGTATGTGGATTAGTCTGTGGTTTGGTATGTGGTATCGTGTATATTTTAGTAAGTGGTTTGTATTTTCAGTCTGTGTGCCTGTTGAACACTTCCTGCTGGTACAGTGAGCAGCTCATACACTCCAGTACACATTGCATGCTGTGCTGCATATGCCCACACACACACACACACACACACACACTCATACGCAAACCAAAACTAGAGCGGTGTTTCCCATCTCCAGATCTGTAGTCTTCCTGTAATGTACAGACACAACTGTAAGTTTTACAGATAAATATTTTGCTAAAGACTCTGAGAAAAATCTCCTTAAACACAAAGTATAAAAAACCGAAAACACTTTTTCATCACTTGTGTTTCATGTAGTACAGTCAACTGCAGAATTATTGGCATTCTTCATGAAAATGAACTAAAATTACAATATTAAAAAAGCCACACATGCAATGAGTAATATTATTAATCGATACGGGTACGCTGCCCAATTTAATTTTTACACAGTGTTTTTCAACAAATAAAAGTTACATATAGTAGGATTTTAGCGTAAGCTCTGAAAATATTGGCGCCTCTTTTATTTTTATAATTATTATTGTAATAATTGTAATAATAATTTACAATAATTACAATTATTATTAGTACATACATATTTAGTACATACTAAACTACAAACTACTAGTATATAGTGAGGCCTCCACTCATGAGAATACAACAGTAAAGTTGACTGTATGTAAATGTTTTTAAAATGTTAAAAGCTACCAAGTGAGCAGTGCTGGTGCGAGTTTGCTGTTTAAGAGCCGTTAGTAGAATTAAAAATGTGCTGAGCTGTAAATAATGGTGGTCAGACTGAGCAGCAGCACCGACGCCAGAACCCTGCAGGACAGGATGGCACGTCATCCACGCTGCTTGTGTCCAACAGTTTTGGTGGGATTTTTTCCGTAAATTGGTCTCATTTAACCAGAACAACAGTGTAGAGTGTCGTGCTAATATCAACTGTGATTCTCATCCTTTACAGTGTTACTAGATCCAGCCTTAATACCTTCGTCTTAATGTTTTATTTGGTTTTGTTTAGAACAAATACAAGTGTAGAGACAGACTGTGTAGAAGGATTTTAAAGAACCTCAGTAACTGAGGGGGCTTCCTCATGATTTTGTAAATCTTATCATGATTTCTTCACATAGAATGATGTCAGAATCACAGACGACCAGATCAGACTGCATTTGAGAAGCTCAGCCAGTGTTATAGACCAAATGACACTGTATTGGACTGTAATATTTATGCTCAGCCTCTGTCAGTATTAGCAAAGTGACATAAAATGTTTGGTAAATGTATTGACATTGTATTCACTTCATTTTCTATACATATTTTATTAACGTAACTAGATCTCTACCTTAGGAGTGCCAATACTTTAGCCCTTGCAACAAAAACAGTATATGTGTATTTTGTATAAAATCTTTTAAGCATGTGTGGCATTGTTTGATGCCCTGTATTTATAATAAAGGGGTCCCTAAAATGTAAATAAAGCATAGTTTGGCTTTTTGCTGTAAAAGATAAAATAGAATACAAAATAACTAATAATTCCAAAGAAAGGTTAAAGTGCCTAATATATATTTTTTTATTGAAGGGGCTCAGTGTTGATAATGATGCTTAATAAACATGTTATAAATGAACAAATGTCCCTCACTAGTTCAGGCGGCTTTCTGTCAATACAATGTCATTTACTTCATAAAACATGTCACATTGCAAATACTGACACAAGCTGTTCATAAACACAAGTATTACTTTTCAAACGCATTATTCAATATTTGAATTTCTTATGAAGTCTTCATGTAATCATCCTTAAAATACAGTGTTACCATAATTGAATCGTATCTGGATAAACATTGGCTGGATTCCATTTACACTTTTCACTAAAATGCGTCTCCCACTGTGGCCAGATGAGTTCTGATTGTACCTTTTCTGTGCAAAAAGCACATCAACACAAACTGAAACAAAAACTTTTGTTTATTTTTTCCCCGTTACAATACGAGTCTTCAAGCTTGGCTTGGGCGCTTTCACCAGCTCTGAGTGCAGAAGGCTGTTGGTTGAGGAGCTCCAGCCTTGTGTATCGTCCATTTATTTCATTGTTTATTCTCTCACCCTCTAGTCAGCACTCAGCAGACCCGTTTCTGCTCATGTAATTGTAAACGGATGATGAAAACGCAGCAGAACTGTTGAGACTGGAAAATAAATCCAACCAACCCAAATGATAAAAATATTTAGGCAAAGTAATAGAAACAGTGCAGCTGACGGTACAGAGACCGAGACCGCTTTCAGGATAAAACTGGTTAGACTATTGTCAATAAGTGTATCAGCTGTTTTACAATCAGAGTGAAAGTGTCTCATTTTCTCTCTGTCTGTCTGTCTGTCTGTCTCTCTGTCTCTGTGTAGGTGCGGGAGCGTCTGCGTGTGGCCTTGGAGAGAGTGGCAGTTTTGGAGGACCAACTAGCAGCATCTGCTCAGGAGGTAAACATGCATAAACATACACATACAGCCGTATGCAAATATTTGGGCACCCCTGTTTTAAGTGTGAAAATAAGAGAACACCCTTTAAATTACATTTACTGTTCATTTGCTGAATTTAAAATAAATCATAAAATGTGGCCGACGCAAAAAGTTATGGCACATTTTAGATTTTATTTTTTCAGTATGTTGAACTCAGCAAATGAGTAGAGGTTATATGCTAAAATGTCTCTGTAGGGGATCTGTTAACATATTTACACTTAGGAAAACAACAGAACGTGTAATTTGACTGGGGGTGTTCTAACTTTCATAAAATGGCAAAAATATAATAACATTATTAGTCAGCATCAGAAATCATCAGAGACCCCTTTAAACACATACAGCGCTGTGAAAGATTCAGAGCCCACCCTTCATTTCTTTCATTTCCAATCAAGATGGCCATTAAGTACAAGTTATTCATTTTTTGGCTGAATGGGTGGGGCTAAACAGCTGTAGGCTGAATGGGTGGGGCTAAACAGCTGTAGGCTGAATGGTGGGGCTAAACAGCTGTAGGCTGAATGGGTGGGGCTAAACTGCTGTAGGCTCAATGGGTGGGGCTGAACAGCTGTTGGCTGAATGGGTGGGGCTAAACTGCTGTAGACTGAATGGGTGGGGCTAAACTGCTGTAGGCTGAATGGGTGGAGCTAAAATGCTGTACGCTGAATGGGTGGGGCTAAACTGTTGTAGGCTGAATGGGTAGATGTATGTAAAGGTATTAGTTTTGTGACATCACATCGTAGATGTAGCTCTTGAGGCTTCGTATGATTTTCTGTTAAATATATATCTTGATCTTTTTCCCTGATGCTGAAAAATAATGACTCAGTGTCTGTTTTGAATAGAAATAAATAACTGAAGGGCAGTCTGTGGATAATGCACTGTACTTTACTGGGCAAACTGGTTAATGTAATGAATCAGTTTAAATGAGTGTCATAGTACTTGACCTCACTAATACTCTTGTGGCTGAATGCAATCAAATCCTCCCCGCCGTATTCCAACAGCTAGTATGTGTTCTCCCCTCTCATCAGAAGTCTTTGTTCTGTAAATGCTCCTGCAGTGAGTGTGGTGTTCTGTTATTCTGCTGTATTTATCTTCTCTTTCTGTTCGTTTCCTCTCCGCCTTTCACCGCCCCCCACCAGCGCCTGTCTAACGGCGCCGCCCTGCAGGACGATGGAGAGAGAGAGAGACAGAGGGCTGAACTCGCTCAGCTGAAGGAGAGACTCGCCATCATGTGCCGCCAGGTGGGCCAATCAGAAACACAGATTAGAAAGACATTAAACAGATAGTTCAGCAAAAAACAAACACAGAACACTAAGAACTTGTAAGTGGGCAATATGACAATATTTTAGCGTTACTGTGATAAATATGTCACAGTGTGCTTTGCTGAGTGCATCATAGATATAATCAGTAATTAAAGGACACTCACTAAACAAACTAACTACATGTTTCATTACAAAGTGAGCATAATTAGGTCTGTTTAAGTGGATTAGGTGCAGTGCAGTTTGAGTCACTACAGGCTCTATTTTGTCCATTCTAACTCTCAGAAAAATTAAATATCGTGATGAATATTGTGTATCATGAAAATGTACTGTACTGTACATTAGTATAGTAGTATTGTAACAATATTTTTGCATGATTTATTTGTCACCCAAAAAAATTTAAGCTTGAAAAATGGTGGTAACACTTTACTGTAGGGTGCTGTTCATAAGGCTACATGACACCTACATAAGCTTGTCATGGCAACTGACATAACCCTATATAACTGTTTATAAATGCTTATTTCAACAGGCGTCATCTGTCATGAAGGCTACTTTAGTTAACTTTTGATCAAAGTTGGCAAATGTAACCTTCATAGCGAATGACGCCTGTTGGAATAAGCACTTATGTGGGGTTATGTCAGTTATTATGACAAGCTTATGAGGGTCTCGTGTAGCCTTATGAACAGCACCCTACAGTAAAATGTTACCAAAAGAATGAACTGCATGTATAATAATCAGGTGAATCAAAATAAATCTATCTTTATACAACAGTTAGTTCCGGCCACGCAAGCTGATTGGTCGAGAAGCGTTCTAACTGTGCTGTTATTTCACCATAACATCACAGGTTTTTTTCACAAACACTGTATCACTCCGTTGAGACGCCGTTGCTAAGCAACGACTGTGACAGCTGTAGGAGATGCTCAAGCCATCTGAACGTTTTTACTTCTTACTTTGCCACAAACAGAAAATGGACACTTTTAACATCACATTTGACCGACAGCCGATTTGGTCAGACTCTGAAGATGAGACGACACTAAATTACCAAACGGTCAGTTGGTCTGTGTGGAGCTGGAGAACGAACTGCCGGCTGTGCAGCGAGTGGGCGGAGCTCGTTACTCTGACGTAGCAACAAGCTGCTTGTTAAGGAACTATAATTCGGTGAAGGAACTGCGAACATTAAAACATATTAAACGCCGCGTTCACGGCCCAGTTTATTAATTTATTACTTTATTTATTTAACTGTTGTATTAAAGCAATAGAACACTCGAGCAGTGTGTTATCGCCAATAACATCACGGCTGTGATGATCTACGGCGACCAAATCACAGCCGCGATGTTCTTTCATGATAACACACTCCCTCTGTGTTCTATTGCTTAAGTATCTGCTGGTGTACCCTTATAAATCAAAACCCTAATGCATATTACATCAGTCTGTCTCTCTCTGTCCCTTCCTGCCAGCTCTCTCCTCCTCTGCTCTTTCTAATGCTCTCCTGTCCTCTCAGCTGCTTTTGTGTTCAACTCCTCTCTCACCTCTTCTCCACTCTGCTGCTGCAACACTGAACTAATTCATTAAAACTGAAACACCATTAGACAAAATGAACTGCACTGACCTCAAATTGATATATCTGCATGAACTGCACTGCAAAAATGGTCTCTTGACAAGTGAAATTAATGTAAATCTAGTTGCTATATATAGCATATCTAATTTTAAGATCCCTGGGAGCTTATTATAAGATTACTGAACTTATTTATAGACATTTTTTACTTATTCTAGGTGACTTCAGTAAGTCAGATTGTCTCACTATATAGGCTGATTTTTTTATTGTTTCAAGCACATTTCTCACAACAAGCAAAACTGCCAACACAGATAATAAAATCACTTAAAACAAGTAAAAATGTCTATAAATAAGTTATAATCTTATAATAATACTTATAATTAATTATAATCTCAAATTTAGTTATGTTAGATATATCAACTAGATTTAAGTTCATTTCATTTGCCAAGGCCCTTTTTTGCAGTGTGGTACCAAAGAGCTAACAGGCTAGCAGGCTGCTTCAGTATGCTAAAATATTCAGAAACAGGCTTTAAATTCAGACCCTTTCCAGAAGTAGAGGGCGGTATGGGCATAAATTTATATCACGGTATAATTAAGATTAATGACAGTTTCGATAAATATATCACAGTATAGATTATTTATGTGTATATCTTTCAAATTAAACCATTTTGGATGCCTTAAGTAAACCTTTCTTGTAGACTCACAGTGACGTATTATTCTGGACGTCCATTCACCTTTAATAAGAACCGTATTTAACAGCTGAAGTGAGTCTAAAATATTATTATTGGTTGAAACAGTAAAAACAGAGATGATCGATAAACAGTCAGATGTCAGTGTGTCTCTCTAACCCAAACGAGATAAAGGCGAGTGTGTAGCCTTTAGTCTCATATGAGCGTCTCTCACACTCGAGCTTTAATCTCCGAGCGTCAGACGCTGATGGAATTCAGTAAATATAAATAAAAGACCGCAGCGTCACCTGAAGCAGCTGGCCAAGCGAGGAGCACCTTAGGTGGAGCACACGGAGAGCCGGCTCGTCTCCATGCTATTCTAACAGCTAACTCCAAGAGACTGGCTTTTCCTTCCGCTCTCTTTTCCCCGTTAACTCATTAACTCATTACAGTCTGATGTTGCTCCTTTGACCATAAACTGGACTAAGTGACCTCAGGCTGCAGCCACTACACGAGAGGTGAGGGAGTCAAAGTCAAGTCAAAGTTTATTTATATAGCACTTTTTACATGTTGTCTTATAGCAGTTTTACAGAAAAAAAATAAATAAAAAAATTACAAATACGGGTCCAAGCCCCCATGAGCGTCACCAATGCTCCCTACGAGCAACAGGAAGAAACCTCGAGAGGAATCAAGACTCAAAAGGGGAACTCATCCTCCTCTGGTCAACACCGGATAGGAAACAGTAACACCTTAAGAAGAATTTAATCCAGTAAACACGGATCAAATCACATGAACTGGTGTGTCACTACTGCTTACCTGAATGAGCCACTCTGAAACTCCATATACGATACAGAATATGTTGCCTGTCTGCCTTTTACAGGCTTCACACACCTGTGTTTAATATCTAATTGGGATCAAATCTAATAACACAACCCCATTAGCATAACAACACTGTACATTCCCATAAGGACACTAGTGGAGCTGCTGTGAAGAATATAAAATAGTTTAAAAATGAAGAAAACCACATTTATGAATAATTGTGTCCAAACTTTTGACTGGTGCTGTAATTAGCTATAATGAGGAGTTTTAACGGAGCGTCTTAACGAGATGTAAGTGAGCGGTCGAGTGGTGTTGAGGTGTGTTCATAAACGTTGGGCAGGTGGTGTGTGTGTGGTTCATTTCCTTAAACCGTGTGAAATCCTTCACCATGCTGAGCACCACGCCGCTCTAATTTAAAGAGCCCATACCCTGCGTTTTTCTAACGTTTTCATTTTTACACTCAGAGGTTCATTTATAGCCTAGGTGTGGTTTTATGTACCAACATCATAATGTAATAATTCAGGCTGAACGGGTGGAGCTAAACTGCTGTAGACTGAATGGTGGAGCTAAACTGCTGTAGACTGAATGGTGGAGCTAAACTGCTGTAGCTGAATGGTGGAGCTAAACTGCTGTAGACTGAATGGTGGGGCTAAACTGCTGTAGACTGAATGGTGGAGCTAAACTGCTGTAGCTGAATGGTGGGGCTAAACTGCTGTAGACTGAATGGTGGAGCTAAACTGCTGTAGACTGAATGGTGGAGCTAAACTGCTGTAGCTGAATGGTGGAGCTAAACTGCTGTAGACTGAATGGTGGAGCTAAACTGCTGTAGACTGAATGGTGGAGCTAAACTGCTGTAGACTGAATGGTGGAGCTAAACTGCTGTAGCTGAATGGTGGAGCTAAACTGCTGTAGACTGAATGGTGGGGCTAAACTGCTGTAGACTGAATGGTGGAGCTAAACTGCTGTAGCTGAATGGTGGGGCTAAACTGCTGTAGACTGAATGGTGGAGCTAAACTGCTGTAGACTGAATGGTGGAGCTAAACTGCTGTAGACTGAATGGTGGACCTAAACTGCTGTAGACTGAATGGTGGAGCTAAACTGCTGTAGTTGATTGGTGGGGCTAAACTGCTGTAGCTGAATGGTGGAGCTAAACCGCTGTAGCTGAATGGTGGAGCTAAACTGCTGTAGCTGAATGGTGGGGCTAAACTGCTGTAGCTGAATGGTGGAGCTAAACCGCTGTAGACTGAATGGTGGAGCTAAACTGCTGTAGCTGAATGGTGGGGCTAAACTGCTGTAGCTGAATGGTGGAGCTAAACTGCTGTAGACTGAATGGTGGAGCTAAACTGCTGTAGCTGAATGGTGGAGCTAAACTGCTGTAGACTGAACGGGTGGGGCTAAACTGCTGTAGCTGAATGGTGGAGCTAAACTGCTGTAGCGGAATGGTGGGGCTAAACTGCTGTAGACTGAATGGTGGAGCTAAACTGCTGTAGACTGAACGGGTGGGGCTAAACTGCTGTAGCTGAATGGTGGAGCTAAACTGCTGTAGCTGAATGGTGGGGCTAAACTGCTGTAGACTGAATGGGTGGGGCTAAACTGCTGTAGCTGAATGGTGGAGCTAAACTGCTGTAGCTGAATGGTGGAGCTAAACTGCTGTAGACTGAATGGTGGAGCTAAACTGCTGTAGCTGAATGGTGGGGCTAAACTGCTGTAGACTGAATGGTGGAGCTAAACTGCTGTAGCTGAATGGTGGGGCTAAACTTCTGTAGCTGAATGGTGGGGCTAAACTGCTGTAGCTGAATGGTGGAGCTAAACTGCTGTAGACTGAATGGTGGAGCTAAACTGCTGTAGCTGAATGGGTGGGGCTAAACTGCTGTAGCTGAATGGTGGAGCTAAACTGCTGTAGCTGAATGGTGGGGCTAAACTGCTGTAGCTGAATGGTGGAGCTAAACTGCTGTAGCTGAATGGTGGGGCTAAACTGCTGTAGCTGAATGGTGGAGCTAAACTGCTGTAGCTGAATGGGTGGGGCTAAACTGCTGTAGCTGAATGGTGGAGCTAAACTGCTGTAGCTGAATGGTGGGGCTAAACTGCTGTAGCTGAATGGTGGGGCTAAACTGCTGTAGCTGAATGGTGGAGCTAAACTGCTGTAGACTGAATGGTGGAGCTAAACTGCTGTAGCTGAATGGTGGGGCTAAACTGCTGTAGACTGAATGGGTGGGGCTAAACTGCTGTAGCTGTATGGTGGAGCTAAACTGCTGTAGCTGAATGGTGGAGCTAAACTGCTGTAGACTGAATGGTGGGGCTGAAGTGCTGTAGGCAGTTTAAGAATGTTTACATACTAAATTAAACAATTTTATTAAAATTAAAAAAGAAAATTCAGTTTTCCACAATATGGACCCTTTAAAGAAACATTTACATGGACAGTTTGATGATAGTGAATGATTTTCCCACAGTTCCTGTTGATTTCCATCATTGTGGAGTAAATCGCGTTTAAATCATTTCTGTTCACAGAAACAACAGCGTGAAGTAGACAAGAGGGCCACACAGTGACAGTAGATTCATTTACAGAACAAGTTTGCTTTTGTTCATTCCAGTTTCTGCCACCAGAGGGAGACATACACTCATATGTAATTTTAATTGTGCTGTACTGTGAAGTATTAGAACATCAGTGATGAGTGTGATCGGTGTCTTAATGGGGTGTTTAACAAGAGCTTAACATAGACAGTTCTATATTAGTGAGTTCATCCGTGATAAACGGAGGGAGGGGGGGGTATCGCTTTAAATCAAAGGACCCAACTTAATCCACAGTAAGATAATGATTGATTGATTGATTGATTGACTGACTGACTGATCGAAAGACTTCTTAATTATTGGTTCATTGATTGATTGTTTGATTGATTAATTGTTTGACTGATTAAATTAGCAATGGATTAATTGACTGCTTAATTGACTAATTCAGTCGATCAATCGGATTGATTGTTAATTTACTGATTGTTTGATTCAATAACTGTTTGACTGTCTAATTTATTATCTAATTGATTTGTTGGTTCATTAGCTAGTTGATTTATTGACTGATTCATTAATTGATTGTTGACTGATTAATTGATTAGCTGGCTGATTACTTGATTGATAGGTTTGGTTGATTGATGATGGACTGACTGACTAATTATTGGTTGATTGGTCGATTTATTGTTTTGATATTTGCCCAACTGATTGTTAATACATTGATTAATTTAATGATTGATTGATTGATTAAAGAATCAGTTGAATGACCAAATTACCTATTGATTGATTTATGCATTGATTGCTAATTGCTCAATTGATTGATGGATGGATGGATGGATGTTTTGATTGATTGATTGATTAATTGATTAGGTGGGGGAGATTGAGGAGCAGTTGGCCACTGCCAGGAGGGAACTAATCAAATCTGAAGAAGGAAATCAGAAACTCCAGAGGGAAGTGAAAGAGGTCAGTTAACCAATCAGAACTCAGCCTCAGCATCTACCGGAAGATCCAACACAGTGCTTAACTCTCTCTGTCTGTCTCTCTGTCTCTCTCTCTCTGTCTCTCTCTCTCTCTCTCTCTCAGGCTCTGTGTCAGAAGGAGGATATGGAGGAGAGGATCACTACACTGGAGCGCAGGTTAGAGAGTCTCTGCTGTTCTTCATGATTATATTTCTATAAACACATATGCATTTATTAGTGTGCGCTTATGAATGTGCGCTTATGAGTGTGCGCTTATGAGTGTGCGCTTATGAGTGTGCGCTTATGAGTGTGCGCTTATGAGTGTGCGCTTATGAGTGTGCGCTTATGAATGTGCGCTTATGAGTGTGCGCTTATGAATGTGCGCTTATGAGTGTGCGCTTATGAGTGTGCGCTTATGAATGTGCGCTTATGAATGTGCGCTTATGAGTGTGCGCTTATGAATGTGCACTTATGAGTGTGCGCTTATGAGTGTGCACTTATGAGTGTGCGTTTATGAGTGCACTTATGAGTATGCACTTATGAGTGTGTGCTTATGAGTGCACTTATGAGTGTGCGCTTATGAGTGTGCGCTTATGAGTGTGCACTTATGAGTGTGCGCTTATGAGTGCACTTATGAGTGTGCGCTTATGAGTGTGTGCTTATGAGTGCACTTATGAGTGTGCGCTTGTGAGTATGCACTTATGAGTGTGTGCTTATGAGTGCACTTATGAGTGTGCGCTTATGAGTGTGCGCTTATGAGTGTGCACTTATGAGTGTGTGCTTATGAGTGCACTTATGAGTGTGCGCTTATGAGTGCACTTATGAGTGTGCACTTATGAGTGTGCACTTATGAGTGTGTGCTTATGAGTGCACTTATGAGTGTGCACTTATGAGTGTGCGCTTGTGAGTGTGCGCTTATGAGTGCACTTATGAGTGTGCACTTATGAGTGTGCGCTTGTGAGTGTGCGCTTATGAGTGTGCACTTATGAATGTGTGCTTATGAGAACAACAGAACAAACACAACGTACAAAGATTAACAGACACAGTGAAAACATTACCAACTCAGTCATGATGAAGCGCACAGCCACTGAAGAAAGTGAACATATGTGACAAAGGAGAAAAAGGTCATTATTAAAGGTCATTAATGCATTAATTGTTAATTACTTAATTATATCACCTATTTACTTTAAGTAGATTATTCATATTTTATTTTTTTTATTTTTAAGAAACGTTTTAATAGTTATTACATCTTTTACTTATTTTTAAGGAACTTCATCATTTTTACCTTCTTTTAATGTTTTAATGTGTTGTAAATTGTCTTATTATTTTTTTATATTTTTTGAAAATGTTCCTTATTTTACTTTATCTTATATTATTAATTATTTTGTTTTACTTTATTTTGTTTCTGATTGTGAAACTCAGTGTATGCTGAGCTGAATCTCCTCCTCAGCGCCGCCTGCTGGACTGACTGAACTCTACACTGGGCACATAACAGCAGTCCCAGTGTGTTCAGACCAGCGGGGGGGCAGCGGGGTCAGTTTGTGTGTGTGTGTGTGTGCGCGCCAAGTGGCAGTGTGTTGCCAGTGTCAGTGCCAGTATGTGCCCAAGGCATGCTGGGATACACACCCTGCACAAGCTCAGTTAGCATTAGTTAAAAGGACGAAAACAATTAACCAACATCATGTTTTAATAACTTCAATTAAAAATGTATTATTTACATCTTTGAATGCAGCTCAACCAGTTAGATTTCAGGACCGGAATCAGTTTCATTAAAAGTATAGAACAAAACGTCAGAAAAACTGTATTGTAATGTTTACATGTGTGGAAATTATAATACAGTATAATATAATGTAATATAGCGACAGACGATATTGCAATATAGGTTTGTGAAATAATTACACAGTGTAAAGATAATAATAAAAGTAATAATTTTTGTATTTATAGAGCACATTTCATAGCAGTGGCAGCTCAAAGCAAGTTACAGTCAGGTGATGAAGCTTAACAATAATAGAAGAAACTATGAGTATTGATTTAAAATCAGTGACATCGATCAATTAAAAAGATAAAGACCAAAGAGCCGTAGAGTTTTACTGAAGCTCTGAGTTAAAGAGCTGCGTTTTCAAATATTTATTAAAAGTGAGCTCTGAGCTCGACTGTCTAATAAAAGGTGAATTAAGTTGCTGTAAACACTTTTGAATAGTGAAACATTATTATTTGCAGTGTTTTGTGTAAGTTGATGATCCTGGTGTAATTTGATAGTACATGCAGTGTAGCTGGGGATCAATTAGACCTGTGCTCAGTTTGAGAGGACAGGTTTAATTTAATAGCATGATAAACCCCTGTGAACTGCACGTGCGTTAAACTGAGACTGAGCTAATGAAGGAACAGCCCTATGTGATATAAGTCCAGTACAACCAGATTTGCTGTGTTGTTGTAGGTATATTTGTTATAATTATTAGTGCAAAGCAAAGCTCCTAGCTTATATCACAGTTATACAAGCCTAATATCAACACCCTATTAATCATGTGAGATATCATAGCAACCACCAGCACGCACCTTGCAACACCTTAGCAACGACTTAGGATACCATAGCAACCCCCTAGCAGCCACCTGGGATACCATAGCATCCACCTAGAAACACCCTAGCAGCCACCTGGGATACCATAGAATCCACCTAGCAACATCCTAGCAGCCACCTGGGATACCATAGCATCCACCTAGCAACCCCCATGCAGCCACCTGGGATACCATAGAATCCACCTTGCAACATCCTAGCAGCCACCTGGGATACCATAGCAACCCCCTTGCAACCCCCTAGCAGCCACTTGGTATACCATTAATGCTGTTGTTGTTGTTTCAAGCACATTTGTTTGTATGTTTGTCTCCTGCAGGTACCTGAACGCTCAGCGAGAGGCCACATCTCTACACGACGTTAAAGACAAACTGGAAAACGAGCTCGCCAGCAAAGAGTCCTTATACAGACAGGTTAGAACTCACACACTCACAGGATTCAGCACCGCATTACAGAAACATCATTTAGCCTTCAGATCTGACAGGTCAGGATAAATTCATACTACAGAAACAAATTCTGTCTTCATTTAGAAATGATATCTTACAGAGTTTTATCTCAAGCTCAGAAGTCAATTACTCAGTTGTGCCCAGTTGAGGTCATTTATCAATACGTGCACAGCTGAAAAATAAAGTTAGAATGTAAGTTAATTAGCTAGACTTTATTGACTTATTGAATAATAATCACAGTGTGGTGCACAGTGTGTTTCTGTAAAGCGTGTATTTTTGTACCAACTCTAAAAGAGACTTCCCAGAATAATTATCACTAAACATTAATGTGCAAATAAATAGAAGTTATAGAGTTATTAATAGGAGGATTATTACTAATGTGTATTTTTGTACCAACTCCAAATGAGACTTCTCAGAATAGTTATCACTAAACATTAATGTGAAAATCAAACAGGTTCTAGAGTTATTAATAAGAGGACTATTATGTATATGTATTTTTGTACTCCAAAACAGATTCCCAGAATAACTACCAGTGAACATTAACATGAACATACTCATTTTAAATGAGCATTCCCATAATAATTACCAACAAAATTATTAATAGAAAAACATTTCCTAATTTTACCAATTCCAAATCAGGATTCTAAAATTAATTACCAGTAAACATTTAGGTGAAAATAGTTCTAGATGTTTTGATTGAAATACTGTCACTAATATGTATTTTTGTACCAACTCCAGATGAGACTTCCCAGAATAATAACCAATAAACATGGAAGTGAAAATAAATACAAATTGTGGAAGTGTTAATAGAATTATTACTGCTGATAGGACTGAATAACTGGACTGATTGGAATTACAGAGTGAGGAGAAGAACAAGCAGCTGCAGGAGCGTCTGGACGAAGCGAAGCAGAAGCTGCAGCAGAGAGCCGAAACACTGCCGGAGATAGAAGCACAACTAGCTCAGAGAGTGGCTGCTCTCAATAAAGTACAACTCGTTTAACTCTTTATTTACATTTTTGAATTCCTGCTGTCACCTGTGAGGTTCCTCAGGGGTTGGTTTGAGGACCTATTTCATTCTCCATTTATATGTTATTATGTAGTTAAATCATCTGAAACATGACATATGCTTTTACTGTTATGCTAACAATGCACATTTCAGACTTGGTTCAGTGACCTTTCTCATGGAAATTGGATGACAATTTCAGTTACAATTGCAGATCAATAAAATAATTCATACCTCATTTTATTTGGATCACCAAATTTAACATGTAGAGGGGAGATTATATTAGCCATTGGGGGGATTATATTCACTTCATCGACACTGTTCATTTTAGAATCCACTACAAGTACACTTTCTCTCTCAGGCAGAGGAACGTCATGGGAACTTTGAGGAAAGGCTGAGGCAGCTGGAGGCCCAGCTAGAGGAGAAGAACCAGGAGCTTCAGAGGGTGAGAAACTAAACTGATGCTGTAAAGATCAACCCCAGCTTGCTCTCACCATACGGCTCAGTTCTGGCCTCTGGATTGCTTTAGCTAGCACTGTTCCATATAGGGAGATGTTCATACTAAATGTACATAGTTTACACAGTTTATATGTTTACACTGTAAAAGTGGCCCAAATCTGATTTTCTCACCAAATCTGTTTTTTTGTTTGGCTGGTCACATTATCTTGTAATTGTGATCTGTATGCAACATCAGTCTGAACAGATCAGCTCCTAAACTGACCCACATGCGCAAGAACAGAGCGTCACGCTGCTTCACGGCTCATCCAGAGGTAAACAATCACGACTGCCAACGAACGCCAGTCGCTCCCGGAGGATCAGCTTCATCTTCACCAGCATCACAGGAGCCATCATGAAGTTCCAGTGGTTTTCCGCTAAATCTCTTTGAACACAGAGCAGCTTGGATAAGTCTGTTAATTTTTTTGTACAGAAACATCAGCCCAGATGTTTATGAGTCTCAGCAGCATGAAATTATGATGAATGGATTGGCTTCGTCGTTGGATTGACGTAAAAGTCACATTAATTCCGGCCAATGAGTGGCATTGCTGCATGTCGGATCTGTATCGGATTTCAGTACCACATATGAAAATATTTTAAATCGGAACTGAAAATGTCAGATTCAGTGCGTTCATCTGTTCACACTGACACACGGACACATTTGTGTCACATATGAAGAAAAAGATCGGATTTTGGCCGCTTTTACAAAGCCTTGTTTACTTGAACAAAGCCTAAGTGTGCTTTCAGAACCGAGCCTCTGGACCATTTTTGTGACTCCTTGCATGTACTCTTATTTCCAGGCGAGACAACGTGAGAAGATGAATGATGAACATAACAAACGTCTGTCAGACACAGTGGACCGGCTGCTGTGTGAGTCTAATGAGAGGCTACAGCTTCACCTGAAGGAAAGAATGTCTGCTCTAGAGGAGAAGGTACACACATGCACCCTACTTACCAGTGGGAAACCCTCAGGGCCGTCTCATGATTTCTTCTTGTATTTGAACTCTGCGAATTCTGTAGTAATATTTGTTTATCGTGACGTTTGGTTGGAAATGAAATAGTTAATATTGAAACGGTCAATGGAAAATTATCCAATAAGAATTGTGTCTGTGGTGTCTAGCAGGAGTGTAACGGTACGTGTATTTGTCCCGAACCATCACAGTACGGATGTTACATTTCGGTTGATGCAGTCATGCGGGGAATATCCAGTAGTCTATAAGCGAAGATCGAGTTCCACCTGACAACCTTCAGCTGTAAGCTGTTAGCAAGTTGCCATGCTAAGCTTAGCTCAGGCTGATTGGCATCTGACAGTCACACTGTGGTGAGTGCTTCTTTAAAATCAGCTGTGTGGGAAAATTTCAGGTTCCCAAAGAAATTACAACAGTGATGGAGGGCAAAATGCTAAGTGGTCAAATGCTACCTGGCTGTACCTGCTGTCCCGCCCTACTAGCCAGGCTGTTTTCCTCTGTCTGTTCTTTGGGAGGGTTTGGGCTTAAGCTTTAAATGTTTAAATATAACTCCTTCTGACACAGGTTTTATTTTTGTATTATTCTATTCATTTTCCACTTTTACAACATAAGAGATGCTTTTCAGTTTTGTAGCCGATTGTGACCCATTGCCTTTATTTTTATGAGTGTATGTTTGCCATTTACATTTTACATTTTATTGCTTGATACACTACAGGCTGTAGCAGCTACCTCATGGGGGCGCTATTCAACACTCGGTGAAAGTAAATGAAAAGAAGCCTAGCCTTATGCATTTGGGGGATTTCGTTGCTTTTTTCCCAATGTACCGAATTCGCATTGAACCGTGATGTCCAAACCACGGTGTGAACTGAATTGTGACTTCTGTGTACCGTTACACTCCTAGTATCTAGGTAGATACAGTCAAGCAAGCTCTGTCATTGTAGTTTCACTCTACAGAGTGTGCTAAAGAATAGGGGGCAAGGCTGTGAACCACAAACAGACATGCGTATATTACATGTACACAATCAATGTTTTCCTTCCTCTCAGAATGCACTGTCTGAAGAACTAGCCAACATGAGGAAGATCCAGGATGATCTCCTGACTAACAAGGTGCTTTTCCTCCTTGTATACTGAACACATTCTCCTGTGCTCCATCATATCCATCTCTTATTTATTGTTCTTTTAGTTAATTCATTCATTTCCTTTTCCTTCCTCTCTCTCAGGATCAGCTGATTGCGGAGCTGGAGCGTATGCAGCTGGAGCTGGATCAGCTGAAAGGCAGACCAAGCTCCTCTCAGTCGAGGTAAGATGGAGTCAGGATGGTGATGGAGAACAAGATATAAACAGCCTTTACAGGACCATAAAATGAATATTCAGTCAAACTGTCCTGACCGATATGCTGGAATAGGGATTGGATCCTGGACACAGAGGTGCAAGCTTTCAGAGCTGTCCAGTAGACTGAGATGTGTTCAAACTAAGTGCAGAACTGATGAGGAATTGATAAGACACTAGACATAGCAGGGCCTTCTCGGGTTCCTGGTCCTGTTTGTCTAACCATTAGACTGGTAATAGAATATAGATACTTCAGGAAGTTACCTAGAGAGCCATTAGTTGGGTCAAAGTCTCTGATGGCAGCTTCAATGTAATAATGAACAGGAGTGTCAATCAGGAGATCAGGACAATAGAATCAAGGGATGTACCTTCTCTGGTGGATCTAAACAGGGTTCACAGAGTGGAGAAGGTTTCTGACCTTTGGTTTTTAGACATTGGTCTATAAGAGAACAAGTCATTATCAGGAGCCAGTGTAGACTGTTGTAAAGGATCTTGAGCTGTCTGGACAACCCGAGATCCAGAAAGTTGCCTCCAGTACCAGAGTCCATAAATGTCTGGGTGTGATGCTGTTGGATTTCCCAACACACCAGAGATGGGTTGAATCTCATCCCAGGCCTTAAGATAAGACCTGAAGATACCCAGGAATTTCAGCAAAGCCAGTGGAAGTTGCTGGGCTTGGCCGGGCTTTCTATAGTATAGACAGCGTTTTCCTCTCGTACTGTGATTCCACTTCTATAGAGCTATCTGGGATCTCTTATAGGCCCTTTCATAGGTGGTTGTCCAGCAGGATGGAGATATTACCAGGATCCATCACTGGCTCTTGTAATACCAACTCATTCTCAGTCAGGGCACCATAGAAAGTAGCAACGAGTGCTTCTTAGCTCCATTTGCACTGACGCTAGTGTACAGAATTTGATGGCAGATCGGAAACAGTTGGTTGCCCTTAAGTGTGGGTTAAATAATCTGTTCATCTCCTAGGTGAAGATATCGTTAAAATAGATATATTAAATAATTTTTGGAAAGTTCTGGAAAGAACCTGGCCTGTGAGTAGAGACCACCTTGGCCACCTTGCCCCAGCCAGTTACAGAAACAGTTAAAGGCTGTGGGTCTCCCTGTCCTGAGGGGCTGAAGAGTTTTTGTTGGGTCTTTCTTGCCTGCTGGTCTGAAATGAGCAATTTTGCAAGGGTTTGCAAGCTTGTCAAGCTCTTGATGATGACAGCACCGTGGTTCTTCTGGACAGATCAGAGTTGGTCAGTGTCTGCTGGATCCGTATTTGAATCAGTCTTGCTGTCACCAGAGTGGAGGTTGAACTCTGGAAGCTAATTTGAAGGTTCTGAGCATTAATCACTGAATACAGGGCTGAAGTGAGGTGAGAAATGCCTCCATAAAATACAAGACATCGGGCCAAATCAAAATCACCTCCCCAAACTACATTCACTTGGCATAAATGATTAACAGTAAACATTCTGACCGTTACCTTTCTCCACATTCACATTCACTTTTTTCACTGTCTGTCAGGGCCGGTAGTGCCTCCTCTCTCCCATCCACTTTGTTCCGTCGTTCTCTGCATGGAAGTGCAACTGAGCTCCCGTTTCTGCCAGCAGGGGGCTCCCTCCCCACACGCCGAACACGTGGGCGCAAGGTGACGACATCACTCTGTTTGCCTTTTGACCTCAGTGTATTCTCACTTGGTACTGTTGTACTGTGTGGTGTATTCATTTCTTTTCTGCCTCTTACTGCAGTATGGAGGGTGGGATGAAGGCTGCTCTGATGATGAGGAGGATCGAGAGGCCATGTTTGGTTCGGAGCTCATATCTCCTGGAGGACAGACGGACGTACAGACTCTCGCCATCATGCTTCAGGAACAACTGGAGGCCATCAACAAGGAGATCAAGTAAGCAACCTACATTCTACACCGTTTACCCGGCACTGTTCCCCTCACACCCCTTACCCTACACACTTCACCTTTGACCCTGCTCCCTTCACCCTAAACACTACACCCTACACCCTTAACCCTGCACCCTTCAGCCTACACTCGTCATCCTACACCCTTCTGCCTACACTCTACACTCTTCATCCTACACCCTTTAGCCTACACTCTTCATCCTACACCCTTCATACTATACTCTTCATACTATACCCTTCAGCCTACATTCTTCAAACTACACTTTTCAGCCTACACTCATCCTACACCCTTCAACCTACACTCTATGTTCTTCATCCTACCCTCTACACCCTTCAGCCTACATCCATCAGCCTACACTTTTCACCCTACACCCTTCACTCTACACTCTTCATCCTACACCCATCATCCTACACCCTTCAGCCTACACACTTCAGACTATACTCTTCACCCTACACCCTTCAGCATACACACTTCAGACTACACTCTTCACCCTATACCCTTCAAACTACACTCTTGACCCTATACCCTTCAGCCTACACTTTTCACCTTACACCCTTCACCCTACAGCCTTCAGCCTACACCCTTCAGCACACACCCTTCAGCCTACACACTTCAGACTACACTATTCACCCTACACCCTTCAGCATACACTTTTCACTCTACACCCTTCAGCCTACACTCTTCAGCATACACCCTTCAGTCTACACCCTTTACTCTACACCCTTCAGCCTACACCCTTCAGCACCCTACACCCTTCAGCCTACACCCTTCAGCCTACACCCTTCAGCCTACACCCTTCAGACTACACTATTCACCCTACACCCTTCAACCTACACACTTCAGCCTACACTTTTCACCCTACACCCTTCAGCCTACACTCTTCACCCTACACCCTACAATGTTCAACTCACTCTTTGCCCTTTACTCTCAAGCCTATACCCTCTATCCTACACTGTTCACCTCACACCACTCACCCTGCACTCTTTACCCTACACTGTTAACTTCACCCCACAGTCTTCACCATACACCCTTTACCTTACACCCTTCCCCTTTTATTCTTCACCCAACACACCTTACACTTCACTCTACGCTCTTCACCCTATACCCTCCACCCCACACCCGGCATCCTACACCCTACACATTTCATTCTATGCTCATCACTCTAGCATTTTCACTCCTCATCATACATTCATCATACTCTGCACCCCTTACCTTACACTTTTGTCGACATGCAGTGTAGTACTTAAACAAATATAAAATGGAAAAATGGCCAAACTTTAACCCTTCTCCCTCTCTCTCTCTCTCCCCCACTCTCTCCGTCTCTCTCTCTCCCTCCCCCCCTCTCTCTCTCTGTCTCCCTCTCTCTCTCTCCCTCTCTCTCAGGCTGATCCAGGAGGAGAGGGAGAGTGCTGATATGAGGGCAGAGGAGTTAGAGAGCAGGGTGAACAGTGTGGTTCTGGATGAGGCCATGCTCCCTCCATCCTCTCTGGGTGGAGGTAGAGAGGGAAGTGGGCGGGGCTTCATCCCACCATCTCTCACTTCCTCCACATTGGCTTCCCCCTCACCCCCCAGCTCCGGCCACACCACCCCCCACCTGCCCCCGTCCTCACCTGCCCGCGAGCCTGATACACAGGTACACAGGAGTGTGTGTGTGTGTGTGTGTGTGTGTGTGTGTGTGTGTTAATTAACAACAAAACTCATCCATAAAAAGTGCCAGAATATTGTTACTATTTGTGCCTTTAGTCATTTTCGTGGCTGTGGAAGTTCGCTGTAGATGCTCTGTAGTTGTTTGCCTTGTCTTTAATTAACATGCATCTAAATGTCTCTTAAACGCATTTGAATTCTAAATCGAATGTAACCCTAAATGTATTTAAATATAACCCTAAGCTCCAATTTTAACATCCACCCAAAACCTAAACCTAATCCTAAACCTGACTCTAGCCCTAAAGCTGTAGTTTCACCAGATAGTTTGACACTAATTTAAGCATGTGTAGATAATATGTAGGAGACTATCAAAATAAAATGTGGCCTGATTTGTAAACGGATGCTTCTAAAACACTATAGCAGGGGGTGTCCGAAGTCCGGCCCCCTGCACCACACGCAGCTCGCAGAAAGATTTTAAATGGCCCACGGCTTGTCTCTTAGAATGCATTATAAGAGGCCCACCAGCCGATGTGCTGCAGTTTCTGTTTTTGGAGCAGCACCGTAAACTTCTGAGTGCTTCACCACGCATTAGCTAAAGCATTAGAGGCTCTGCTCGTGCTGTCTGGGTGAAAGCTCTGACCTCCTGAGCACCGAAATGGGAAACAAGACGTTCCACATTACTCACACCACGCAGAGATAGTGCTTTAAATTAAACATTTTTACTCAATAATAATAGCATCAATTAACAATATGAACTGATCACGTATCCGGAAAATGGTTCAATATTAGTGCTCATAATGTTACGAGACCACAGCACATTATGTACTTTATCACAAAAGTGTATGATAATGAAAACAAAATAAAATATTAATCATTTACATGTTCACCCAGGATTACTCTTACTTCAACGTCCTCCCAAATTAAATATCTGTATTCCTAGCCGCTGTTTTTTGTTTGATCTCAAACGGCTGTTTCACCCCACTCTGTTCAGTGTTTTATTTTAATCTGTTATGGAGAAATAGATGTTCAAAATGCTTTAAAAGCATCCAGCAGATGGTGCAGATCTGCCTCTGTGGGTTTTCCTCCTCATAGTCAGCACAGTGTGAGGATTAGCTGTGTTCATTTTGCATTTTTATTACTAATTTTTATTTTTACTTGATGACTGTCACTTCAGTAAATTCACAGCATTTCCATACGTCACATAGCTAACTGAATCATACACACATTTTCTAAACCGCTTATCCTTCTGGGTCGCGGGGGTGGGGGGGAGCTGGAGCCTATCCCCCCCGGTCAATGGGCGGAAGGCAATATATACCCTGGACAGGTCGCTAGTCCATCGTAGGGCAGACAGACAGACCGACAGACACATACACATCCACACCTAGGGGCAATTCAGCGTGTTCAGTCTGCCTGACTGCATGTCTTTGGACTGTGGGAGGAAATCGGAGAACCCAGAGGAAACCCACACAGACACGGGAAGAACATGCAAACTCAGAAAGGACCCTGGTCGCCCGGCCGGGGAATCAAACCCAGGCCCTTCTTGTTGTGAGGCAACAGTGTGACGGCATTAGTGGGGAGCAACACTATAACCTTTCATAATCTTCTCCAAAATTAAACATGTTCCACTGGTCCCGCCCCCTTATTTAACCCAAATCAGCACCCGTGATCTGTGCTGACGGCTGGACTCTTTTCATCACTGTCGTGGCAAAATAATAACACCCTTTATCTCTGAAATGGTAACTTTATAGGGGAAGGAAACAAACTCTTAACTACAATGTTTGTTAATGTAACAGTGGTTCATGAAGTCATATTGTATCTTCTCTGTTCTCTGTTCTATTATTGCTTATTCTGTGAAATATTTGAACAATGTATAGAAAAGCAGAAATTTTTACGAAGTTTATAAAGTCATACGCATATTATGTGCACCCTGGTCCAAATCCATGATTTCTGTACATTTTCTGAGTGTAAATAAGTTAACACCCCTTCTACAGAGGACGCATTTCTGCACATTTAAATACACAAGTACTCTTTCCTTTTTGTTCTCTTAGAGGATGTGTTCACTTCTTTTCACTTAACTTTTGCACACAACTGTAATTGGATCCCTTTGATTAAGCAGTGTTTTATGTGAGACTGATTGAAGTATATACATGTGTTTTATTACAGAATGGGAAAGAGGACGATAAAGCGCTTGCCCTCATAGACTCCGCCCCCGCATCTGTCCCTCGAGCTTTGCGATTGGACAGAATGACCCACACACATCCTGGGGCGGGGCTGGATGACCCACGGGATTTCCGCAGGTGCGGTTTGAGTAATGCTTTATTTCTATCTCGGTTTCTGCTAAACTGAACATTTTTAATCCTGCATGTAAACTATATTGTCTCTCTCTCTCTCTCTCTCCCTCTCTCTCTCTCTCTCTCTCTCTCTCTCTCTCTCAGTCTCTCTGTGGACTCGGCCGTGTGCAGCAGTACCGACTCCCTGCACAAGTCCAGTAAGAGGAAAAGCATCAAATCCTCCATCGGCCGCCTGTTTGGGAAAAAAGAGAAGGGCCGAGGGGGCGGAGCTGCGCGAGACTCCGCCTCACTAGGTATGATTTACCCAAGCTTTTACCTCAGGATTCTGGTATATAAATATGAAATTGATATTTCATATTCATGCACATTTAATGCACTAATTGCTCATATTTATTTTGATATATTAATGCTTTTTAAAAATTGTGTTAAAATATTTTTTTTATGTTTGTGGAATTTTCTAGTTTAATGTTCATAACGAATCATGTGTCCATATGCAGCATCAACACCTTCTGATGACCTCACAGCCGACCCACTCAGTCTCAAACTGGGGACACTGGAGAAGGAGCGCCGCAGCAAGAAGAAGTGAGATTTACTCACTCATTCATCCATCACTTACTCATTCATCCATCACTCACTCATTCATTCATCCATCACTTACCTATTCATCCATCACTCATTCATCCATTCATTCATCACTTACTTATTCATTCATCCATCACTCACTCATTTATCATTAACTCACTCATTCATCCAACTCTCACTCATTCATCCATCACTCATTCATTCATTCATCCATCACTCACTCATTCATCCATTCTTTCATCACTTATTCATTCATCATTTACTCATTCATTCTTCACTTATTCATTCATCACTTATTCATTCATCCATCACTCATTCATTCTTCACTTATTCATTCATCCATCACTCACTCATTCATTCATGACTTAATCACTTATTCATTCATCACTTATTCAGCACTCTTTCATCCAACCCTCACTCATTTGTCCAAATTCATTCAATACTCACTCTTGGAGTCTCTAGTGGACTCACTTATCCATCACTCACTTATTAATTCATTTATTCATCTAGCACTGACTCAGTCATGCAGCACTCACTCAGTCATCCAACGCTGTCAATCATCTAGCACTTACTTATTCACCCAGCACTCAATCATCCAACACTAATTCATTCATCCAGCACTCACTCTTTGATCCAAAATTCATTTACCTGTTTATATCTTTTCATTTACCCAGGCCTCACTCACTTCAACCAGCACTCACTCATTCATCCAACATTTATTCATCCTGTACTTCCTTTCTCTCTCTCTCTCTCTCTCTCTCTCTCTCTCTCTCTCTCTCTCTCTCAGGCATGACCTGCTGGAGGAGGCGTGTCGTCAGGGGCTTCCTTTTGCATCATGGGATGGTCCCACAGTGGTCACATGGCTGGAGGTGAGACACCTCCCTGATCCTAATCATAACAAAGCCTGTGTTGTGTAGAAGACGCTTGTTCAGGTCACTTTATTTAGTATTTTAATATGAACTCCTGCTTTGAGTAAAATTAAACTATGTAGATTGTTTGGATGAAGCTTGTTGCATCATTGTTTTGCTTTGTGTGTTTGTTGCCATGGGAGATTAAATCAAATTAACACAGGATAAAAGCCTTTCTCTCTAAATATTGTTAGTATCAGTGGAGTAAATGCTGATACTGATATATAAGAGGGTGAATATAGTCTGACAGCAGTGGTGAGCTGATATATCATACAAGCTCTGATATTAATCGAGAGAAAGTAAGATGTCTCAGTACACTCTTTAAAAAAATAAAATATTATAAAAATAATAAAATAGTTCCACCTTGTTTTTGTGTTTGTTAGTTTTATTTATGGTTAGTTTTATTTATTTATCTCTGTTTTTTTTAATTACTCAGTTTGTTTATTTTCTCACCTGTTGAGCTGCTGTATGTATGAAAGATGCTCTCAGGGAATGAAGTTTATTGTTATAATGTGATATATACTGAAACATGCTCTCCTCTTTGTTGGTGTGTGTGTGGTAGCTGTGGGTGGGCATGCCTGCGTGGTACGTGGCTGCATGTCGCACTAATGTAAAGAGCGGAGCGGTGATGGCGAACCTGTCAGACACGGAGATCCAGAGAGAGATCGGTATCAGTAACCCACTCCACCGCCTAAAGCTCCGGCTTGCCATCCAGGAGATGGTCTCCCTCACCAGCCCCTCAGCTCCTGCCAGCACACGCTCCGTACGTGCCCACATACACACATACATAACATACATATATAGCTTTCAGTGAAAGGTCATTCACGTCATCGCTGTCAGGACAAAACCTCATATCTCCGAAAGGGTAACTTTACAGGAGGTTAAACAAACTTCGTTAACTTTGTCATGAAATCTTCACACAATGTAAACAGCAGCTGATATTTTTAAATTATGGAAAAATTACAAAAATGGAGAAACACGGTCGTGTCCCAGCAGCAGCGATATGTCTATCACGTCATCACTGTCATATCAAATCATCTCTGAAATAGTAACCTTGATCCCATATGTATTAGCACCAATACGCAATGCCTCATATCTATTATACATAAATAAATACGTGTATTGAATAATAGTATGCTCAATACGTATTAGTACCTATGTGAAATGTTCCGTATGTATTATATATGCAAGTACCTATATGTAATAATATTCCTAATATGGAGTACTATCTCTATTTAATATGTTCCATATGTATTATTCATATAAATGTACCTGTGGTGCAAAAACCTTATATCTCCATTTTGGTTGTTTTTCCATAATGCAGAATCTTCAGTTACCCTTTATATTGTGCTATAATTTCATGTAGAACAGACCAACAGAAATAGTCCTAAATGGCTTGAAAAAAATATTTTTTACACATTAACTTCCATTACAGTTAAGAAACTTTTTGCTTCTTCTGTAAAGTTACCATTTTGGAGATTTGGGCCCAGTCCCATTTCTTATTTTTACCCCTGCCTCTTGTTTTCGAGTGTTGCCCCTTGGAACTGAATTACAGGGTAGTGGTTGAAACCTTCCCTCTGAAATGGGACCCTCAAATAAAAGAGCATCACTTCATTAACAGCTACCAGCGCTGCTCTGTAGGAGACCCTGCCAGTCTGCAGTGACAGCAGAGGCGGGTAAAGTTCAGCTCCTCACTGCTGGGCTTTAGTTACATTTAGGGATCATATGATCTTCAAAGAGGGGGGCAATTATTTATTATCACCCACCCACTAATTCTTCAGTGATATGAAGCTGAAGTCAGATATTCACCAGATTTTTGTTTGAATTTTCCCGTTCCACCTTAAATGGAGCAGCAATTACATTCTGACGCTTCGGGCGTCAGAACTGCTGGACTATTTAAGGTGGAACGGGAAAATTAGCTAGCTAACAAGAAATTAGCACTACTAGCGATTTTTTTATGCTCGTTATGTAGAAAAGGACCAAAATACACTAAAACAACATTAAACTAAGATCATATGATGGTTATCTTAATTTTTAACAGAGAAAATTCTCACATTTGTGGGTTTCTTTGGTCTCTTGTTCTCCATCTTGCCGGTTTTCCTTTTTTCCCTCATATCCAAATGTCCATGTATTATTTAATTACCTGAATGTCTCCCATATATTAATATTTAATCACGTATATAGACACACCACGCTATACTGTTAGTGCAGTAAATCAGAGGTTTAGGTATACTAAAATTTTCTGTCATGTTTTTTTTTTAGTCTACCAGTAATATTTGGATGACACATGAGGAGATGGAGTCTCTGGCTGCAGCCACAAAACCAGTGAGTTCATTTCCCTTTTTCTGTGTGTAATAAAATGTTTTATCATATTCATTTGTCTACTGATTGATCTACTTAAATAACAGAAAAAGCTTTGAGTTTTTTATTCTTTTATTATATATATTTTATTCCTTTATTCATTCACTCATTTGTTTGACAGGCAACATCATCTCCTGGACAAACTGTGTCTCCATTGTGGCTCATGTCCTGTTATAACTGCATTCAGGCTCTTATTTCTGCATGTAAACTCTTTCTGTAGGTAGAGCACTGTGTGCAGTGGAGTCCTGCACGTCTGTTCAGTCTGATTTATTCATTTAAAGCCTTTCATTCTGGGTTTTGAGCCAATGTTAGAAAAACATCAACAAAGCACAGAGGAGATTGATTATTGAGTCTTTCTAACTGTGAGACATTTATTATTATGAATATTTATGAGACTCTATCATTTAGATTTTTTTCCTTTTGCTGAGAGATTTTATGTTTACTTTTTATGTGTATAAATATGCAGTATCTGTTTATTTTTTGCATGTGTGAAAATCTGCATTTTTGTTAATTATTACTGTATTTTATGTTCATTATTGCTGTATTTATGTAATATTTATTATTTAGTTCTGCTTGTTTATTTGGCTGTCATTATTTTTTTTTTTACTTTTTATTTTAAATAAACACAAAGTCTTGTGTTCTGTACTGTGTGAGAGTGTACGGGTGATGGTTATTTTGTTTTTTGTTTCGTTCTTCAGTTCTTTCATTCTCTCTCTTTTTGCACTCGTTCTGTCTCTCGCTAGAGAAGCTTTATTCAGCTGACTAACTGCCTCTAACCCACAGATTACCTCCAGCATCTGTAGGTTTCCTATTTATTAACATAACAATTTTCTGTATTCTTAATCCCTAAACCCTTCTCACTAACCTCTAATCCTTAATCCCTTAACCCTAAACATTTCATCATTAATCCCTAATCCTTCTTCCCCAACCCCCAAACCTCCCTCATTAACCCCTAATCCTATTCCCTAACCCCTAAACTCTTTCTCACCAACCCCTAACCTTTATTCCCTAATTCCTAAACAGTTCCTTACCAACGCCTAATCTGTATTTCCTAACCTCTAAACTCTTTCTCACTATCCCCTAACCTTATTCCCTAATCCCTAAATCTTTCCTAACTAATCCCTAATCCTTATTCATTAACACCTAAAACCATCCTCACTAATCCCTAATCCTCTTCCCTAACCCCAAAACCCTTCCTCATTAATCCTTCCTCACCAGCACTTCCTCATTAACTCTAACTCTTCCTCCCTAACTCTTTCACATTAACGCTAACCTCCCTCACAAATCCTTACTCATTAACCCTTGAATCTTTCCTCACTAACCCTAACCTTTCTTTCCAAACCTCTAAAATGTTCCTCCCTAGCCCCTAAACCCTTCCTCACTAACCCTAACCCCTTGTCTTTGTGCTTCTCTCTCTCTGTGCTCGCTCGTGTCTCTGCAGGAGCAGAAGGAAATAAGCTGGGATCAGGTGTGTCTGCTTAGCTTTCACTGACAATATTAAACACTACTTTTCAGGGGTTTGTTTGTCTCCTTCAGGATTGTGGTTCCATTCTTAACCTTAAAACCAATCATTCAACAGCAAGTATGGATTATTCTGTAACTATTACAAATGATTTAGTATCTGCCATGAATTATTCCTCATCTACTATGAATTTTTAAATAACTACTAAAAGTATTCTGTGATTACTATTAATTATTCAGTATCTACTGTACTTAGTATCTACACTCAATTATTTAGTATTTACTCTAAATTATAGTAAATAACCATGAATTATTATCTAACGTGAATTATTCCATATATGAATATGTATATATTGTATACATTTGTGTAGATCCTGGCCTATGGGGATATGAATCATGAGTGGCTGGGTAACGAATGGTTGCCGAGCCTCGGCCTGCCTCAGTATCGCAGTTACTTCATGGAGTCTCTAGTGGACGCGCGTATGCTGGACCATCTCACAAAGAAGGAGTTGAGGGGGCAGTTGAAGATGGTGGACAGCTTCCACAGGTCTGCTCTGTACTCTGGTCTTTTTTTCTTCTGGCTCTTAGTTGTTGCCTTAAAGTGATAGTTGGGCAAAAAAATCAAATGTACCTGGTTTTCTACCCCTTTACACCAAATGTTGTTGATCAGCAAAAATTCAGGCTTCAAGGTTTATGCTGCTGTTATTATCTATGCTAATGTACTTTAGTCCATGTTTAAGCAATAGAAGACGAGGCGGAGTGTGTTATCGCGAAATAACATCACGGCTGTGATTTGGTCGCCGTAGATCATCACAGCCGTGATGTTATTGGCGATAACACACTCCTCGAGTGTTCTACTGCTTTAATACAACAGTTAAATAAATAAAGTAATAAATTAATAAACTGGGCCGTGAACGCGGCGTTTAATATGTTTTAATGTTCGCAGTTCCTTCACCAAATTATAGTTCCTTAACAAGCAGCTTGTTGCTACGTCAGAGTAACGAGCTCCGCCCACTCGCTGCACAGTCTGCTGTAAGCCTCGCCTTTTGAAGTACGGACTGAGCCATAAAACTGCCACAATATCAGGTTTAGCTCAGTTTTGTCATTTTTTGCCAGATCAGTATTAATGTTGTTTTGTTCCAGCCAGTCTGTAAAGCATCTTACAGCCCATTTAGTTTGGCGAATGGTGTTGGGTTCATTTCTGGCTGATTCCAGGTTGTTTAGCTGTTCTTCTGTCACAGCTGCCGACTGAAAAGCTGCTCAGTGGTGATGACAGTTTGGGAATTTAGTTTCGTCTCATCTTCAGAGTCTGACCAAATCAGCTGTCGGTCAAATGTGATCTTAAAAGTGTCCGTTTTCTGTTTGTGGCAAAGTAAGAAGTAAAAACATTCAAATGTCTCCTACAGCTGTCAAAGTCGTTGCTTAGCAACAGCATTTCAGCAGAGTGATACAGTGTTTGTGAAAAAAACCTGATGTTATGGTGAAATAACAGCACAGTTAGACCTTCTCAACCAATCAGCTTGCGTGGCCGGAACTACCTGTTGTATAATTATAGATAACAGTGAGTCCTACAGTGTCAGAAACCACAGAATCAAGTCTATTAGAGTTTACCTAAAGCAGTTTAAGGCAAGTGTGTGATTGTTTAGGCATTCAGTTTGCAACATGCTAATTGATGTGGAATAAGCTTCCATTAATTCTTAGCTAGCATCGTAGCTGTGTTAAAACTAAAGAAGCAAACTTTAAACACCAGACATGTCTTGGCTGACTGGGTATGGGGGTGAATTTGATATCTCACTGAACTGCTTTATTAACTGACATCTTTCTTTATCTTCTCTCTCCTGTTTGTTAATCTCTGTCTTTCTCAGGGTGAGTTTGCATTACGGCATTATGTGTCTGAAGCGTTTAAACTATGACAGAAAAGAGCTGGAGAGACGGAGGGAGGAGAGCCAAAATGAAAATCAAGGTAACATCAATACTCTGTAATACATTACAATACAGTGCAGTGTAGTGCTGTGTTACTGATCACATTGCCTGAGTAAAAAATCATACAGTATCTGCCACAGTACAAACTACACCACAAACTACATTACTGTGTTACATCAAACAAGCACTTTACAGCACACATTGTTGCACTTTGTCACATTACAGTACTTTACAGTACAAGTACTTTAGAAAACACATTGCATCACACTACTCTCCATTTAATCAAAGCACTTTGCAGTGTGTTACATTGCTGTTACATCACTCTACTTTTCATTACATCAGTGCTCTACATTACTTTCCGTTACACGTTTCTCCTTTATACTACACTGCTTGTCATTGCATCACAGTAAACAGCAATTTACATTACACTACTCTTCATTAAATCAAAGTACAGTATTTTACTTTGGACAATGCTTCATTAAATTATTCAACTCTGTTAAATTAGTACTTCACAGTACTTTGTATTATTCTTCAATACAGTATTCTTCATTACATCAATACTCTACACTACACTATATTACATTACAGTACTTTTCATTAAATAACAGTTCACACAACACACTACTCTTCATTACATCACAATACTCTCCATTACATCAAAGTATTCCACAGTGCATTACACTACCCTCCAGTACATCAGAGTACTCTACAGTACATCACACTGCTCTCCATTGCATCAGAGTACTCTAAGGTACATCACACTACTCTCCAGTACACCAAAGTTCTCTACAGCACATCACACTACTCTCCAGTACACCTAAGTACTCTACAGTACATCACACTACTCTCCAGTACATCAAAGTTCTCTACAGTACATCACACTACTCGCCATTACATCAGAGTACTCTACAGTACATCACACTACTCGCCATTACATCAAAGTACTCTACAGTACATCACACTACTCTCCAGTACACCAAGGTTCCCTACAGTACATCACACTACTCTCCATTACATCAAAGTACTCTACAGTACATCACACTACTCTCCATTACATCAAAATACTCTACAGTACATCACACTACTCTCCATTACACCAAGGTTCCCTACAGTACATTACACTACTCTCCATTACATCAAAGTACTCTACAGTACATCACACTACTCTCCATTACATCAGAGTACTTTACAGTACATCACACTACTCTCCAGTACACCAAGGTTCCCTACAGTACATTACACTACTCTCCATTACATCAAAGTACTCTACAATACATCACACTACTCTCCATTACATCAGAGTACTCTACAGTACATCACACTACTCTCCATTACATCAGAGTACTCTAAAGTACATCACACTACTCTCCAGTACACCAAGGTTCCCTACAGTACATCACACTACTCTCCATTACACCGAAGTTCTCTGCAGTTCATCACACTACTCGCCATTACATCAAAGTACTCTGCCGTACATCACACTACTCTCCATTACATCAGAGTTCTCTACAGTACATCACACTACTCTCCATTACATCAAAGTACTCTACAGTACATCACACTACTCTCCATTACATCAGAGTACTCTCCATTACATCACACTACTCTCCATTACATCAAAGTCCTCTACAGTACATCACACTACTCTCCATTACATCAGAGTACTCTAAAGTACATTGCACTACTCTCCAGTATACCAAAGTACTCTACCATACATCACACTACTCTCCATTACATCAGAGTACTCTCCATTACATCACACTACTCTCCATTACATCAAAGTACTCTACAGTACATCACACTACTCTCCATTACATCAGAGTACTCTAAAGTACATCACACTACTCTCCATTACATCAGAGTACTCTAAAGTACATCACACTACTCTCCAGTACACCAAGGTTCCCTACAGTACATCACACTACTCTCCATTACACCGAAGTTCTCTGCAGTTCATCACACTACTCGCCATTACATCAAAGTACTCTGCCGTACATCACACTACTCTCCATTACATCAGAGTTCTCTACAGTACATCACACTACTCTCCATTACATCAAAGTACTCTCCATTACGTCACACTACTCGCCATTACATCAAAGTACTCTGCCGTACATCACACTACTCTCCATTACATCAGAGTTCTCTACAGTACATCACACTACTCTCCATTACATCAAAGTACTCTCCATTACATCACACTACTCTCCATTACATCAGAGTACTCTCCATTACATCACACTATTCTGCATTACATCAAAGTTCTCTACAATACATCACACTACTCGCCATTACATCAAAGTACTCTACAGTACATCACACTACTCCCTATTACGTTATGCTACTCTCCATTACATCAGAGTACTCTGAAGTACATCACACTACTCTGCATTACATCAAAGTACTCTACAGTACATCACACTACTCTCCATTACATCAGAGTACTCTCCATTACATCACACTACTCTCCATTACATCAAAGTTCTCTACAGTACATCACACTACTCTCCATTACATCAAAGTTCTCTACAGTACATCACACTACTCTCCATTACATCAAAGTTCTCTACAGTACATCACACTACTCTCCATTACATCAAAGTACTCTACAGTACATCACACTACTCGCCATTACATCAAAGTACTCTACAGTACATCACACTACTCTCCATTACATCAAAGTACTCTACAGTACATCACACTATTTGCCATTACATCAAAGTTCTCTACAGTACATCACACTACTTGCCATTACATCAAAGTTCTCTACAGTACATCACACTACTCTCCATTACATCAGAGTACTCTACAGTACATCACACTACTCTGCATTACATTAAAGAACTCTGCATTACATCACACTACTCTCCATTACGTTATGCTACTCTCCATTACATCACACTACTCACCATTACATCAAAATACTCTACAGTACATCACACTACTCTCCATTACATCAAAGTTCTCTACAATACATCACACTACTCGCCATTACATCAAAGTACTCTACAGTACATCACACTACTCTCCATTACATCAAAGTTCTCTACAGTACATCACACTACTCTCCATTACATCAGAGTACTCTCCATTACATCACACTACTCTCCATTACATCAAAGTCCTCTACAGTACATCACACTACTCTCCATTACATCAGAGTACTCTAAAGTACATTGCACTACTCTCCAGTATACCAAAGTACTCTACCATACATCACACTACTCTCCATTACATCAGAGTACTCTCCATTACATCACACTACTCTCCATTACATCAAAGTACTCTACAGTACATCACACTACTCTCCATTACATCAAAGTACTCTACAGTACATCACACTACTCTCCATTACATCAGAGTACTCTCCATTACATCACACTACTCTCCATTACATCAAAGTCCTCTACAGTACATCACACTACTCTCCATTACATCAGAGTACTCTAAAGTACATTGCACTACTCTCCAGTATACCAAAGTACTCTACCATACATCACACTACTCTCCATTACATCAGAGTACTCTCCATTACATCACACTACTCTCCATTACATCAAAGTACTCTAAAGTACATCACACTACTCTCCAGTACACCAAGGTTCCCTACAGTACATCACACTACTCTCCATTACACCGAAGTTCTCTGCAGTTCATCACACTACTCGCCATTACATCAAAGTACTCTGCCGTACATCACACTACTCTCCATTACATCAGAGTTCTCTACAGTACATCACACTACTCTCCATTTCATCAAAGTACTCTCCATTACATCACACTACTCTCCATTACATCAGAGTACTCTCCATTACATCACACTACTCTGCATTACATCAAAGTTCTCTACAATACATCACACTACTCTCCATTACATCAAAGTACTCTACAGTACATCACACTACTCCCTATTACGTTATGCTACTCTCCATTACATCAGAGTACTCTGAAGTACATCACACTACTCTGCATTACATCAAAGTACTCTACAGTACATCACACTACTCTCCATTACATCAGAGTACTCTACAGTACATCACACTACTCTCCATTACATCAAAGTTCTCTACAGTACATCACACTACTCTCCATAACATCAAAGTACTCTACAGTACATCACACTACTCTCCATTACATCAAAGTTCTCTACAGTACATCACACTACTCTCCATTACATCAAAGTACTCTACAGTACATCACACTACTCGCCATTACATCAAAGTACTCTACAGTACATCACACTACTCTCCATTACATCAAAGTACTCTACAGTACATCACACTACTTGCCATTACATCAAAGTTCTCTACAGTACATCACACTACTTGCCATTACATCAAAGTTCTCTACAGTACATCACACTACTCTCCATTACATCAGAGTACTCTACAGTACATCACACTACTCTGCATTACATTAAAGAACTCTGCATTACATCACACTACTCTCCATTACGTTATGCTACTCTCCATTACATCACACTACTCACCATTACATCAAAATACTCTACAGTACATCACACTACTCACCATTACATCAAAATACTCTACAGTACATCACACTACTCTCCATTACATCAAAGTTCTCTACAATACATCACACTACTCTCCATTACATCAAAGTTCTCTACAGTACATCACACTACTCTCCATAACATCAAAGTACTCTACAGTACATCACACTACTCTCCATTACATCAAAGTTCTCTACAGTACATCACACTACTCTCCATTACATCAAAGTACTCTACAGTACATCACACTACTCGCCATTACATCAAAGTACTCTACAGTACATCACACTACTCTGCATTACATTAAAGAACTCTGCATTACATCACACTACTCTCCATTACGTTATGCTACTCTCCATTACATCACACTACTCACCATTACATCAAAATACTCTACAGTACATCACACTACTCTCCATTACATCAGAGTACTGTCCATTACATCACACTACTCTCCATTACATCAAAGTACTCTCCTTTACATCACACTACTGTACAGTACATCACTCCACTCTACACTACTCTTCATTGCATTACATACTAACCTTTATTACATCACAGCACTCTACACTACCCTTCAATACACAACAGTGCACCACAGTACTATAAACTACACATTACATTATAGTACTTTTCATTACATTACTGTCCATTACATCAAGGTACTCTGCAGTATGTTACACTGTTCTTCATTACACTGTATTGCTCTCTAATACATCTCATTGCTCTTCATTACATCATAGTGCTCTTTGGTTTGTTCCATTACGCTCTTTTACGTTACACTAATTTCCATTACATCAAAGCGCTCTATAGTGCTTTAAATAACAATGTTCTGTATTCTACATTACTGTTCTTTACAGTGTTCCACACCACATTTGTGTTGTGCATGCAAGATAGATTACTTGTCTTATGTTACAGTATTTTGTGCCACATTGTTTTGTGCTGCTTTGATAAAACATGACATTACACTACTCAAAATGTGATAAACTGCTATTATTATTATTATTATGTAGTAGTAGTAGTAGTACTAGTGGTAGTAGTATTGTATTATATATTATTATATATTATGTGTCTGTTATATCCCAGTACTTAGCGTGAACACATTACCTGCATATACCTTTATTTTTCTCTTCCACTCTGTGTTTCATAGACGTGATGGTGTGGTCTAATGAGCGAGTGATGCTGTGGGTTCAGTCGATCGGTTTGAAGGAGTACGCCGATAATCTGAGGGAAAGTGGAGTCCACGGCGCTTTGTTAGCGCTCGATGACACCTTCGACTTCACCGATTTAGCACTTTTACTCCAAATCCCCAATCAGAACACCCAGGTACCAAATTACACCTCTCAGTCTGTCAGTGAGAAACACACAGGCACTTGACCATCAAAAGCCTGTCATCCAATCAGAACAGAGATGCTGACTGTAGTGTCCTCCTTCCCACAGGCCCGGCAGCAGCTGGAGAAGGAGTTCAGTACTCTCATCTCTATGGCAACCGAGAGACGACTGGATGAGGTAAAGCACACATGATGAGTGTGTATGTACACCCGTGAGGAGCCTCCAGGGCCTTTTTCCTCTGTGGTATCTAGCTAGACACAGCCAAGCAAGCTCTTCCATTGGTTTGGACTTCAGGAGCTGTACTGGAGGCCTAAAGGCTATTTCACACTAAACGCAATGTGAATAAACGACAAGAAAATGTGGATTTTTCGCATTAAAATTTTCGCCGCCAAAGAAATAGACTGAATATCAAATTCAAATTCAAAGTAGCTTTATTGGCAGGACTGTTTTTTGAGTACAATGTTGCCAAAGCATATAAAATTCAACTCAAAGCGAAAAACATTTTGTAGAACTAAAAAAACAAATATAGAATTAATAGTAGCAATAATGATAATAGTTGTATTGAAATAACAGCAACAATGTTAAAATAAGACAACATATTATATAATAATAAAAAAAAAATAACAGACAGTGTATTTAACTTATATACAGTGAAGGGTTTAAGGGGGGTCAGTGAGGTCGGGGTGTGGAGTGTGTGACTGTCCCTCAGGCGGTGACATGTTGCCACATATTTCACAGAGAGAGACGCTGTGCTGCCCTCACCAAGGAAGATTTGTAGTTTTTCAGATTCTGTTAGAATTTCAAAATTTGGGAGAATGTTTTTTAATTTTGTTATGAAATTTTCTCACACCAATTTGATATCTATACAATATATATATCGATAGATATTTTATGTATATCGAGATGTGTGTGTGTGTATATATATATATATATATATATCGAAAGGTTTTCTGCTTCTCATGAAATGGACAAACTGTGACGTTGTGCAGGATAATTTCTTCTTTGGAAAATTAAAAGGAAAATGGAGAGTTTCTCCGCCTCAGTCGGGAGCTAAAAGGTTGAACTCTCACTCACAACTTGTATTTCTGCATCTCAGTTTGAGCTGATTTCGGAGAAGCAGCTCCACACAATACAAAGCACAAAACAAACGGGCTGAATGCCTACAAGTGCAAATATGTGTTGCTCCTCAAAGAACCAACAAACTGTGACATTGAGATATTGTCCATTTCTAGTAAAAAGCAGCATGAAGAGCATCATTACTTAATTCAGAAACTGAAACTTTGAGTTCTCGTAGTCCAGTTTGAGCCCCGTTTGAGTTACTTTTGGAGATTATTTTTTGACGTTTGAGAAAAGGTTCCAGTTGCTGGGACCTAGCCCAGTCATCATCTTGGTTGTCGAAGCCAGAGGCAATCTTGACCGGTCCAAGAGTTCATGTAGTTGGCGAAAGTTTGCAAAAATTGAACAAATAAAATAACGTTGCATTTTTGCAGCTTAAAAAATCACAAGCTCAAATTAATTTACTGTCAGCTGACAAAATTGCGTCCTGTGCGTGAGGACCTTAAAATGTTACCAGCATTTTTAGGAAGTGATTAGGAAAATTATTAAGAAGAACATCCCTCTAGGTTTTCTGGACATTCTAGTAATGTTGCTCACTGCGGATATGAGTTGTAGTCTAACCAAGTTTGTTGTTATTTATTACTAATGGAAAACTGCAGTGGCAGCTTTATGCCAGGACTCTTTACTGAAAAAATTGCTAGTGGCTTGACGAATCCAAGCCATATGCCCCACTTGGAAGTCGGAGCCAGCTGTCTATTCCCTATGACATTTGCTTACACTATGAACACAAAAAAGCACTGAGTTTGTTTACAGCTGGCTCCCCTTCAGGTTCAGTTTAACAGGAATGAGTTGGGTTCATTGTAAAAGGACTAGATGTGATCTCATCCCTTAGATAGTGCCAATTTGTGACCTAATGTGTGCATGTTTAATTTCCAGGAGGGTGGTAAGACGTTTACACGCTCTCCTTCGTGGAGGAGAATGTTCCGGGAGGCTTCAGATTCCTCAGAAACTCTCCCAGCCAACATCAGAGCGTCCGCCATGGCCACTCCCCCGCTTACCCTCCGCAAAGTACAGAGTGAAGGTGTCTGTCTTTTTCATTTCAGCTTTTCTGCCATTCTGCTCCCCTTATTGGGCCTCATTCTCCAATATGTTCTTAAGTTTGTTCTTAAGTGTGTTCTTGATAAAGGCCCTAAGAAAAAGTCTACATCCAATTCATGACGTGTTCTTAAAGCGCAGAACTGTTCTCACCTTTGTGCTCTTGAGTGTGTGTAGATTCTGTTCTTACCTCAGAACTAATCCCACATAAGAGAACATTGGTGAGTCAGAGTCTTCCTCAGAACTGGGTTTAAGTGGGTTTTAAGAAGAAATTTCTTAAGAACAGGTGGTGAATGAGGCCCCATGTGCTTAGGTTTGTCTGTTGCTACCACATATTGCTTTGTGTATATATATATATACAATATGCATATTAAAAGGCATTTTGGTCTGTGTTATATGTGAAGCATTTTCATTTTTACTGTCTATAGCTCTGTTCATTATTCTGGATGGTAAAATGTAATTTTTCCAACAAAATTCCAACAAATTATTTGAGTTGCACAGAACTATCATCATAATTTTATGCTTGCATCTGGAGCAACGTTGATTCTCAACATTTGAATGGATGAATGTAAATACCAGGCTTGTCCTTCAATGTCTGCACTCTTAAAACAGGTTGTTCTTCAAGGGTTCTGTAGTAAAGATAATGGTTCCATATAGAACCATGATCACTCAAAGAACCGTTTACATGCTTAAAGAGTTCTTTGCATGGTAAAATGGTTCCTCAGGTTGATGGAGAACAACCCTTAGAAAGGGTTCTAAATAGCACTAAAAGGGTTCTTGTATTGTTACAAGCTTGACATTGAAACAGTAGCAGAACCCTTTTTGATCCTATATAAAACCACATACAACACATTCTACATTAATCTGAAGAATGATTTTACCATAAAGAGAACTCTTTAAGCATGTAAACGGTTCTTTGAATGTTCATGATTCTATATAGAACCCTTGTCTTTACTAAAGAACCTTCGAAGAACCATCTTTTTTAATGTAGTGTAGTTGGCAGTATGATTTTTTACACAAATTCTGTGTCTGTTTTTGTCCCAGTGAGCCCGACATGCCGAGGAGAGGCTGGGTCAGTGAGGACGTACTCCTGCTGATCTAAATCACCCACAATGCAGTTCTCCCTTTAAAACCTGAAAGTGGGGAGTAGATGGTGTGGAGCTCAACGAACAAGCAAGATCATAGATGAATTAACCTGTTTTGCCACAAAGTCTTTTTGTTCTCTCCATACTGCATCTAAGCCAAGTCTCATTTACAGCCATTCAAAGACTTGAAAACACATCTGGTCTGGTGGATTTAGACTTAACCAGAGTGGATCTGCCTTGAAGTACCACAAACCAGGTACCATCAATCCTCAGTAGGACCACAAAGTCCATTGTCCGTCTCTCAAATCTAGCCTTGAACACAAACGGAGACTAAAAAGAAATACTGGGTTGAACAAAAGTTGCACACTTAATGGAGAAGACAGGATTCAAATGTCCCTCTTCGAGCCGTGTGATTTGTACTTGGTGATATCTCTGGATATTTGGTGCGCTTTAAGAAAATAATTGACTTATATTTGAACCTCCCTAGTCCTCTCTACTTCCTGAAGGGTGGTTTGCTAACCCCAGTCCTAACCTCAGGGCTTAGGGCTACATCAAGACTGACTGCAAACATCTGGAACTGCAGAGTCAAAGCCATACTCCTGACGAGCTGAATGGATTAAAAAAAACGGGAAGGAGAAAAGGAAAAAGAAGGGATGAGAGCAAACAAGACATGAGTAGGAGGCCTGTGGACAAGTGCTGTGTTACAATAACCTTGTACAAACTGAAGCAGAAGTGTACCGTGTGTGTGTGTGTATGTATTTGTGTGTTTGCATTTGTGTATGCAGAACTGCCTGTCAAATGGTAGGTCATACCATAATCCTGGATTGGGGCTGAACTCAAAGACTCCCGCTGAGTCACAGCCCTTGCCTGTTGGTAGGTACATGAATGTAATAGTAATTTTGTATGTGAGTGCTAAGCAGCCTGTTACATGTCGGTTTTCCCCAATTGTTTACATACTTAAACTGGAACTTAGGCACAATTACCTGAAACTCATGTTCCTGAACAAAATGGCAACATTTTTGAGAAAAGTACCTATAGCACAGTCAAGCTTAATACCATCTGCAAATGTGTAATTTGTAGGTTTGTTAGGTTTGCAGTCAGGTTTTTATGGAAGGTCATATATGAGTATTGTTTTGTGTGTAAAGCAGTGGAAGTAGACTTGGCAGGGAGGGATGCAGGAGAAGAAGGTAGATGAAATTGTGGTGAATTTATTGGAAAACACACCTGAGTAGCAGCAGAGATTTGGTTTTGAATCTATGGCCCAGGACCACCGAGAGTAAACATGGCCACACAGTCTTCTATGTGCTGGACCATGTTGGAGATTCAGTGTCTGGTTTCACAGGTGTGAGCCAATATGAACCTTTCAACCAGTTCTGGAACCTTTGAAGAACTAAAGCCTTCCAAAATCTTTTGAGGAGCCAAAGTCTTTTGGAAAATTGTGGAGCTAAAGTCTTCTGGAATCTTTTGAGGAGCTAATGCTGCATTCAGGTACTCATCAGAAGGTTCTATATACCAGATAGGTAACTAGTAAATACAACTAAACTCTGTTCAGGTGTATGGAGGTCCAGAGAATACTTGCTTTTCTGTGTTAAAAAGCATACAAATCACATCAAATGTTTTTCACATTCACTGCAAGTTTAGTGGTTTCTTAGCAGTGTATCATCTACAATCCCAAGTTTACCAGATGTAAATACGACTTTGTTGGTCATTCAAGCTCAAATTACAAGTGGGAAAATTGGTACTTCCCAGTTTCCAACACCACTCGAGCGCAACTAGAATCTTTTGAGGAGCTAAAGTCTTCTAGGAAACTTTTTAGTAGCAAAAGCCTTCCAGAGCCCTCTGAGGAGCTACAGCAGTGGAGGGCAACTTAGTGCTGGATTCCTGCACACTTTGGTGACTTCCTTGCTGTAGTAAACCAACTAAGCCTGGTAATTAACTGAGTTGAATCTGGTCACCATATTGCACAGAAATCTGGCCCTCCAGCACCAGAGTTCCTCACCCCTAAACTAAAGGGTTCCAAAACCTTCCTGAATGAGAACTGCATAGTTCCTGAACATGTTCAAGTTTTCTGCCTTTACATGCACTGCGGGGACTGTGACCATTATGTAAAAGAACAAACTGCGTGGCCGTTACTTTGTTTCAGCATGTACCACAACATGGCAAACACGGAGGAGGTTGACGCTTGGGTGTTCATCGTTTTTGGCTGCTGTGGAGTTGAATTGCTGAATTCACAGTTAACATAAAATGTGATTAAACTTTTTGGTAGATTCTTTCATCCCATATCAACAATTCAAAAAAATTTTGAATGTCTTCATCAGCATAGATGAAGCTTGTATGACTTCGTCAGCCCACTTTTCCATCAACCCCTAGTTGTCCGTTCTCATTTGCTCTGGTGGCATCCATAACAACAGTTTGGTTGTGTGGGTTTTTGGAAATGGTGGAGAAAATGGCTCTGTGCTGCTTTTCTTTGACCTGTCAGGGATGTTCAGCACGGCACTCTCCACTCCAGCACTTTCTTGTCCACAGACGTGTACCAGCTATGCAGCAGAGAGCAAAAATGTCCAGGAATGAAAAGTACTGGTTCCATCAGTGAAAACGTTCCTGAAAAGGTTCCTCTGGAGAATACACAGCTGAATTTTCTTAAGTTTCTGGTTTCTAAAAAGGTTTCTACAGTAGAAAAGTGCCTAATGGGAAGTAGCAATAGGCGTCCTACTTCCTGGTGGAATTAAGTCTGTAAGAATGATGGTAATACTGTATAATGAGAATCTGGTCATTGCAAAATTTCCCAGGACTCAATATCAAAAAGGAAAGGGTGACAAATGACTCAAAAATATTCTGTAGTGTTGGCGTAAAGTGAGACACAGGGGAGGCCATGATTTCCCCATGTGAAGTGCTATTTATTAAACACCAGGACAGGAAGGCACATAACATGCAGCCGGTGACCTCCCCCCCCGGCAAACACACACATAAATAACACAAATACAAACTTCAGACTAATAAACAACGACAGTCACAACAAGAAGTCCCTTTTTAGGAGGGTGCGCAACTACCGTGAGCCTTCATGCATGGCCGCTCGCATGGCCACACCTCCCGAGCATCTCAGAGCCAGCACCAGCCAGTAGCAGGTCACTACAAAACATTAACAGATGAACAGACAATAGAAGAGGCAGATGAAAGACCTTTTCACAGTTTCTTCAAAAGAGCAAATTTGCATATGTGCAGTAAATGTGCTGTATTTTTGCATGTTTACCGTATCGTTTGCTTACAGTAAGCCTTTTAAATTCATCAAGTAAAATAAAATGCACGTTTTGCATTTGTGTTCTTTAGGCTGCACACTGGAACAGGGATTTACTGGAGTGCTTTCATTATTATGTGACAGTGTGAAGCTGTTTTTATTAACAGGATCTACAGTTGATTGTATTCATGTCTTGGAGGCATAAATTACACGGCTAATAATTGTTTTATATTTAGAGTTTTGAGAACATAAGATGTAGTTTGTGTGAACATGAGATTCACGTGTGAACAATTGGGGAGAACCTACTGAGGTTACTTTCATTTTCATTACTAGGACGGACATTTGATGTAGCGTGTGCATATTTTGAAATTCACTACTCGAATAATAGTCTTCTCTGATATGTATAGGTGAAAAAATGGCATTTAGTAGCTGTGATGAAAAAGATGGCAGTAAACTCCTGTAAGTTTTTTATTTATTTGATTTTATTATTATTTTTTTGGTGTTTCTATTGTACATTCAAGTTTTGTGTGTGTAGGTTTGCGTGTGGCAAAAGGACGATTAATTAGATATACCACATTCTCAAAACATTTAATACGGTGTCCCAACCCGAATATCTTTTTCAGCTGAATGCCTGGAACCCTTAAACATGTAAGGAATTTCAGTTAGTACAAACCCTGGTACAATACTGTATATTTTGTAATAATGCAAAGGAAATACTTATTGTGCTTAATATATGTAGTATTGTGAGTCAGCAGAAACAAAGTAGCCTATATCAAGCTTGTCTTTGAAATGTCATTGTAAAAAATAGAAAAAGAACAAAAACAAACAAAAAACTGTCTGTATCTTGAAACTCTCACAAATTCAAGCTCTGATAAACAAGTAAAGACGTGAGAACAAGAGCCAAGATGAGATGAACTGAAAGCTGATTTTGTGTCTTTACGGTTTTTATTCTGCTGCTCAGAGGTTTTTGACTAACTCTTCATAATGACGGGCCTCTACAAACTGCATATTTATTATCTTATAATACTGTAGTTTGTTGATGATAATAATTATGTAATTGCTGTGCATTAATGAGTGCTACAGTTTGAATTATTAGCCGTTTATTTACTGACATACACATAATTAAACCACTGTACAAATAATTAAACTACTCGGTCCAATTAATGTTATATATATTAAAGCAACACTATGTAGGATTTGGGGATTTGGAGACCTCTCTGGTGGAAATATGTAATTGCACTCAATCAAAAAAGTCTTCTGAGGATCTGAGTGAATTATCTACTATAGTCATCACATCTTCATCAGTTTGATTTTGATTTTGAGATCATTTGAGGCCTAAACATTGAGCTGGACCTTCTTTATGAGGTGCATGTGATGTTAATACGTTAAGATGTACGACGTGGTGTGTAAAACCCCTGCAAAATCTGTCCCAGTACCTCTGACTTATTATTGAATTATTATTTAAGTCCCCAGTACGTTTCTTTTTTTCATTCTCAGTAATACAGTTTCAATGAAACTGAACTAAACACTATAAAAAGGTTTAGGCAGTAAGTAAATAACTACATGATTTAAAACAGGATGCAAACAATCAATAAGTAGTATTCATAATCATTATGAATTCTTTTTATGCAGCTAATTAAATGCTTAAAATGCTATCATATATGTTTTGTGACTATCAAATAGGTAAATCATTATAATCTATAATTAATGTTTACCATTCAAAATAATTATTATTATTCATTTCTAAGCGACAAAATATGTCACTAAAAATGGTCAGTAATTCAAATGGCACCATATATTAATGCAAATCTAATTATATAATTATTAACAGTCATAAACAAACTACAAAATAGTTGCTGTTTATTAGGGCCTGTTATTATGAAGTGTTGCCGTCCCTTTTTTCTTCATAACTCATTATTCAGCCAAAATCAATTGAGACCAGTTTGATGTCTGAACTTTGCTTCTTTGGAAACATGGAAATCTTCCATTACTTGTTAGCTCAATTAGCCTCTTAGCTCTGGTGCTTAAACTACATAAACAAACTTCAGACACCAAACACATCTTGACTGACTACATTTGGATGAGAATAGTGTATATTTGATTTTCTACTGAACTCTCCTCTTAAATGCAAATGGTCTTTTTTGTAATTCCTCGATACAGCTTGTATATATTGGAAGAAAATGTCATTCCTCAGGCCCCAAACACACAACAGGAGCAGAGTACTTGGGCTTACAGAGTGCAGACACACAACACAACACTGTGAAACGAGTGCAGAATATACAATTATACACCAGGCTAAACAGACAGACCAATAAATACACAAGGCAGTAAATGAAGAGAACACTGAATGAACATTACAAATACACACCATGCTAACTAGACAATATACATGAATGGGGTCCCATAGCAGCATTGAGAGATGACGATTTAAAGAGTTTAAAGTGCAGCTGTGCAGTGATGGTTAAGATCTGGGTGGTCAGTCTCCATCAGTGTGTTCAGTAATCTGACCGTCTCGGGGAAGAAGTCTGGAGGTGGTGGAACGGATGTTCCAGGATGGCAGGAGGGTGAAGGGTCCATGATAGGGGTGGTCGTCCACAATGCTGGCAGTTGTGCAGATGGTGGAGACTCTGATGACCTTCTCAGCTGTCCTCACAATCCACTGTAGGGCCTTCGACCGCTGTAGGGTCCGAGACGGTGCAGTTCCCTTACCAGACAGTGAGACAGCTGGTCAGGACGCTCTCTACTGCCCCACTGTGGAATGTAGTGAGGATGGAAGGGGGGATGTTCTATTGATGTGCAGTGGAGCATCATTTCCTGAAGTCAACAATCACCTCTTTCAATATTAAGAGATGGGATTGTTACGGAGCCCCACTGGTGACATCCTGTATAAATGAGTATTTATGCATGGGAACGACTCAGAAAGGAGTGGGAACAAGATAATTAAGTTGTGGCCATGACTTAGTAAGGCATGGGAATGAGAGAAAGAAGTTGTGGTCACGACGAGTAAGGTGTTTAAACAAGATCATGATTTCTTAAGATGTGGTTAAGGCTTAATTATGTCATTCCATACCTTACTAAGTCATGGCCACGACTTAATTCTCCTGTTAATATGCAGTACTAAGTTGTGGCTAATCAATGTGGATCTTGTTCCCACGTGTTAGTATGGCGTGGCCACGCATTATTTTTATTTATGTAGGATGTCATCAGCGGGGCTCTGTATTAAGAGATGGATTGTTGTCTTTGCAGTGTTCTTTCTCTTCTGGAAGCCAAGATATACTTTCCCTTAATAAAGCAGATAATTGGGTCTGGTGTGTCGACAAAAACATATTTTATTCAGACTAATTCCAATAGTGTGCAATGCTCCTAGTTATCTTTGATTGTAGAGACAAAAATGATGCTTTTACAACTTTTCTATTCTTGACCATATTGTAATGATGATTTTGGTGCGTTGTTATGTTGTGAGGGATAAAGAGCCTTATTTTTATGGCTAAGTTCAATAGCATGCACGGCCCTATTTTCTCTACTGTTAAAAACAGAAATATCTCCATTCGTGTCTGCTCTTGCCACAAATCATTTTACACCTAATTTATATAGGTATGTGGGTGTCACTCACAGCAAGAAGGGCCTGGGTTCAATTCCCAGCTGGGCGACCAGGGTGCTTTTCCTCCTACAGTCCAAAGACATGCAGTCAGGCTAATTGGACATGCTAAATTGCCCCTAGGTGTGAGTATGTGTATGTCTGTCTGTCTGTCTGTCTGTCTGTCTGCCCTGCGATGGACTGGCCACCTGTCCAGGGTGTATCCTGCCTTCCGCCCAATGACAGCTGGGATAGGCTCCAGCACCCCATCGCGACCCAGAAGGATAAGCGGTTTAGATGATGTGTGTGTGAATGTGTGTGTGTGAATGTATATGTCTGTCTGTCTGCCCTGCAATGGACTGGCAACCTGTCCAGGGTGTATCCTGCCTTCTGCCCAATGACAGCTGGGATAGGCTGACCATATAGTTTCACTCTGTAGTTCTACAGTTACAGACTGTAGTCCATCAGTTTCTCTGCATACTTTGTTACCCTGTTCTTCAGTGGTCAGGACCCCCATGGACCCTCACAGAGCAGGTACTATTTGGGTGGTGGATCATTCTCAGCACTGCAGTAACACTGACGTGGTGGTGGTGTGTTAGTGTGTGTTGTGCTGGTACGAGTGGATCAGACACAGCCGTGCTGCTGGAGTTTTTAAACACCTCAGTGTCGCTGCTGGACTGAGAACCAAAAAACATCCAGCCAACAGTGTCCTGTGGGCAGCGTCCTGTGACCACTGATGAAGGACTAGAGGATGACCAACACAAACTGTGCAGCAGCAGATGAGCTATCGTCTCTGACTTTACATCTACATCTATGTCTAATAGAGTGGACAGTGAGTGGACTGCTGTCTCTGCGAGAGGTAATAAAATATTTTAATTCCTAATATCATTTTAAAACCGCTGGTGCTAACCCTAACCCTAACCCTAAACCTGACCCCAAACCTGACCCCAAAAGGGTTCTTCTGTTGTTACACACTTGACCACAATACATTCTTTAAAAAGATGGTTCTTCGAACGTCCTTTATTTAAGGCAATGGTTCCACTTAGAAACATGAGTTCTATATAGAGCCATTTCATTCAGATTGATGGAGAACATGTTGTATATGGTTCTATATAGCACCAAAAAGGGTTCTTCTATTGTGACAAGCTTGGCATCATAAAAATAGCAGAAACCTTTTTGGTGCTATTTAGAACCACATACAACACATCCTTCATAAATCTGAAGAACCATTTTGACATGCAAAGAACTGTTTCAGCATGAAATGGTCATTTAAAACTCATGGTTCTAAATAGAACCATTGTCTTTACTAAAGAACCCTTGAAGTGCCATTTTTTTAAGTGTGTATATAAAGCAGGATGGCCTTAACAATGTTTTACTGTAGTAATAGAATGAGTGATGGGACGAAATGGTCGCTGTAGCGTTGGTGTTCTGTTGAACTGTTAAACTTACGTTGTTTCAGTATTAATTCAGAGTGTAAAAGTGATTAAGAATCAACATCAGATCAGAATGTTGAGTTAACAATGATGCATTCATGTTGTTTTATCATGAATTCAGTGATGAATTGCTATGTGGGTAACAGTCTGAAGAGCAGGCCAAGCTCTACTGTTGTGTAAAATTCAGCTCTACAAAGTCCCGAGGGACGATGACCTGCATATCCGGTTCCCCCGGTCACGTCTAACTTTCTGGGAAGGACTTGCTGCCCTATCATAGACACAGACCATTTTTAATTATTTAAGACAAGGATGAGGTTACTGTGAGATTTAAAAACAATATTTAAGAGCATATTATTACTTGTTGTTACTGACAATACACATTAATCAATGTCATTATTTCATGATGTAAATGTGCCAAATGGCTGATTTTCAACTGCTGTCCTTGGGCTGGTTGATGTTAATATTAGGACAAATGGTTCGTTTTAAAACAAAAAAATTAGAGAGAAATTAAGAACATTCTGAAGAAGCTGTTTGAAGAATAACAGTTCATCTTGAATAAACACTGCCTGGCCAGAAACAAAGTCGCACGTGCTAATATTTCGTCAGATCGCTGTTAGCTTTGATTACAGTGTGCATTTGCCATGGCATTGTTTCGAGAACCATATGCATAGTCACATCATTTATTTCCATCCAGAGTTGAGTACATTTTTGGCCAAGATCTTGTACTGATGATGGGAGAGTGGAGCCACTTCATAAAGTCCTCTAAGTTTAATGGGATTAAGGTCAGGACTGTGGAGGCCACTTCATGTGTGGAAATGATTCCTCACGCCCCCTGAACCACTCTTTCACAATTGGAGTCTAAAGAATCTCGGCATTGTTGTCCTGAAATATGCCTGTGACATCAGGGCAGAAAAAACATTCAGGATGTTCAGTACATTTAGGTACTTAATTTTATTGCCACATAATGCTGTTGAGCCCAGACCAGATCATAGCACTGCCTCCAGAGGCTTGTACAGTGGGCACTATGTAAGATGGGTGCATGGCTTTATGCCCTTCTCACCCTGGTGCGCCCAGCACTCTGGAGTAGGTTCAATCTGGACTCATCAGAGGAAGCTGCTTTATGAGAATCTCGGCTCTTTAGCTTCACCGACCAAACCTGCAGTAGAAGCCTGGGTGTGATCTTAGACTCTGAGCTCTGTTTGATCTGCATGTAAACAGTCACTAAAGCAGCTTTTATCATGTGAGAAAATCAATAAAGTTCAGCCTTTTCTCTCTCAGAGCGATGCAGAGAAACTTGCTGCTGCATTTGTTCAGCAGAATTGATCACTGTAATGATCCTCTTACTGAACTTCCTAAGAAAACAAAACATCCTTTACAACTCGTACAGAATGCATCAGCAGCCTAACAACAACAAAATAGAGATCAGATCAGTCCTGTTTTAAAGAGCTGCACTGGCTGTCTGTATCGTTCAGGATAGATTTTAAAGCTCTGCTACTTGTTTTTAAAGCTCTAAATGACCTTATAGCTCCACTCACATCACAGAGTGTCTGTTTGTTAGCGCTTCAGTAAAACTCTACGGCTCTTTGGTCTTCATCTCTTTAATCTGATCTTTCATTTTCTTATGATTCTTAATGAATACTTATAATTTCTTGTATTACTGTTAAGTCCTATGGAGTCCAATCTTTTTTCTCCCTAATAAACTGAACTAGCCTTTTATCCGATATCCAAATAAAAGCACTTTTCAGTCGACTGTATTTCTGAAGACGCTTCTGTAAATCCACTCATAACAGCACGTTTCTCTTTTATTTCCTGGAAACTCCTGATTTCTTCATTCTCAGTGAGATTACAGAAGTCAGTGTATCCCTTTATTACTCACTCTCTGAACCCTGAGTCAGTTTCCCTCGTTTAAACATTCACTGCTCTTAACAGCTGTTATTAAGTGTGTTTACAACTGTCTTCAAAAGTGTTTAAGCAACCAAGATAAGAAACTGTAAGAGAAGATGAAGTCACTACGTCACAAATTTACATACTTACGCAAATAACTTATGCTTTCCGACAACATCAGAATTAGAGAACATCAGGAAAGAATAATGTCCGGGAACCCCCCCCCCCCACTCCCTCTCTCTCTCTCTCTCTCTCTCTGTCTCTGTCACTGTCTCTCTCTACTCTATCTCTCTTGCTTCTGTGTCTGTATCATCTATGTCTCTCACTCACTGTCTCTCTTTCTTTTTTCTCTCTCTCCTATCTCTTATTCACTCCCCCCCTCTCTCTCTCTGACAGCAGCTGTTTTTTTATAAACAATTATAAATCCTGATCTGTTTTGCGTGGTGTGTGTGTGTTGTTTATGAATGAATCATTTGTACAGTGTGTGTGTGTGTGTGTGTGTGTGTGTGTGTGTGTGTGTGTAAGCGTGTAAATATCTTTGGAATGTGTTAGCGTTAAATTTCCGTAATCTTTCTGAATCAGGCTCCGCCCCCTCCGCCCTTCGCTTTCAATATAAAGCATCTTTACAAACCAAACCTGTTGTTATTTTTACTGTGACTACCAGTAAAAGTCCTGTTTCGCCAGTATTATTTATTTTATTTATTTATTTATTTATTCATTTATTTTGTTACATTTTTACATATTTATTTTTGCAAGCCTATTTATTTTTCATAATTGTACATATTCATGTTTTTTTGCTCTTGAATTTTGAGTTTTTTGTGGACTATCTCTGAATTTTGAGTTTTGTTTGAACATACGTGAGTGCGATGTTTCTGTTTGTCGTTCTTTCTCTCCTCGCGCATTGCTCTCTCTCTCTCTCCTTCTACATCCCTCGCTCGCTCGCTCTCTCTCCCCATGACTCCTCTCCTCTCTCAGCCTTCGGTGACCAGGTCCGGCAGAGACACCTGTACACAGGTAACTCCCAACACGCTTACTGCTTTTCACATCATGCATGTGCAATGCTTTTTAAAAGGAAACTCCACAAAAATTTTACAATTTCTGCAATGAGATGTAAACAGAGTGATTCAGAGTGGTTTGGTGTGAAATGGTTCAGATGTCTTTACAGTGGTGGTGATAGGAACCAGTTGTCACCATGACTACAACACAAATATAGACATTTTATTTACTATCCAGAACCACCAGTGAACCTACACGAGTCTTCTGAGTTTATATGGAATGTTGATGATGGAAAATAGTGGAAATATTAAGAAATATTAGTTTTCTTTGGGGACGATTTTGCCTCATAACACCTTGCATATTATGTATCCCTCCACCATGATGAAGTTTAAGGCCAAAGTCTTCCCAAAACTATCATTAAACAGTGTCTCAGTCATCAGGCAGTGAATTCATAACCATTTCATGTAGGAACTTTCTGTGAGGGAGCTTTTAGAGGTGGACGTCTGGTTCCTATCACCACCACTGTGAACAGTTCTGACTCTGTAAGTTTCTCTGGAACAGAGCGTTTCACACCAAACCACTCTGAACCATTTAATTATGCAAGAATCAGAAAACTATCAATTTAATTAGGATAAAATACTATTAGATTAAGACCAGCGTCACTGTTTTGCAATAGTGATATCTATTCATACTTATTTATTACATTTATAATATTTTTGTTCCTAGATTTGCAATTTAAGGGAAACTGTAAAACATGGGGTTAGTGATCATTTCTGAACCACTGACATACATATTTCTAAAGGAATTTGTGTTGATGGATGATGTGTTTATTTCTTTGTTTGTTTGTTGTGTAGAGAGTAAACACAGGAGCTTCTTCCTGGAGATTTTTCCAAACGGCACCGTCACAGGAGCACCAACACAGACGGAGCACAGTGAGTCAAAACACACACAACAACAGCTTAGCACTGTGTATGTGTGGCTCATATATGTGTACATACACTGCCCATCAAAAGTTTGGGGACACCAAACTTCTCAAAATGTCATTAATAAATGAACAAATTGGCTTATAGTTCGACATATTAAATAGGAAGCTGGGCCTCACTTTATCTGGATAGTCCACTATAGTCCCCTCTAGATTAACTACAGATGTTCAAATTGTTAACAAACTATCTGCTGAAACTCAGGTGATTCTAATCAGTGGTGGGGTTGGGGTTAGGATTTGGGTTGAGGTTAAGGTTAGGGTTAGGATTAGAGCAGGTTTAGAGTTAAAGTAAATGATGGTCAGTTTAGTAGATATTAGGTTGAAGGCAACTTGAAAGTAAATTAGGAATCTACAAAGCATCTAAAGTGCACTGTTCAAATAAAGCCCAAAGCTGTTTGGATAAAATTGCTACTTTGGAAATATTTTTTCCTTGGGTTAAAATACTACTTAATTTTTTTTTAATAGACAGTATGCAAAAGTTTGGGTACACTGGACAAGTTATTTCAGTTATTACAGTTACTTTATATTTTATTTAAAAGAAGTAATTTTTAATGCAGTGTTTAGTTGTAAAGTCTCAGCATTTAATTAACTTGTTAGGCCTTAACTGACTCGTTAGGACTAGTTGGGTAGGTCACGAGTTGTCATTACGAACTGTCAGCTGATGAGAATTCCAGACCATATTACATTCTCTACCCTTCAAACCTTGTGTTAACACTCAACAGCTAAGCACTTAAAAGCTCTTCCCAACTGCGTATCTGTTTACAACCACAGTGTAATAAGTCATGTTTAATAGGAATGCAGTGCAGTGTGTGAAGTGTTGAACACAAATCATTGGATTCATAGTTTTTGATTACTTTGTTCCAACTTATCAGATGTCAGAACGGAGAAATATAATGACATATTGGGAATGTACCAGGAATGATGCTGTTTTTGAAGTATCGTAATATTACATTTTTGCTGTATTGCCCAGCTGTATTATTATTAGTAGTATCAAGGTTAGGTTTAGGACCAAGGTGAGGGATAAGTTTAGTTTTGGGGTTGAGGTTGAGGTTAGGCGTCAGGATTAGGGTCAGTGTTAGGGTGAGGGAACATTAAGGTAAATTGCAGTAGAAATTTGGTCGAACATAAGCAAGATATACATCTACAAAACATCTACAGTGGGCTGTCTAAATAAAGTGTTACCAATATTTTTAATTAAACTTGGTTATAGTGACCTTAGGGTCATGTGCAGCTGCTCCAGAGCGTCCTTTTTTATTCTATTGGTCATTTGCTATGGAGATTATTAAGCGGTGTGTGCACAATTGAACATATGTGTGAAGCTTAAAGTAGCCGAATTCACTCATTAGAGGGGCTGACTGAGCAATTTTTTACATACTGTTTAAACATTTTTTATTTTAAGTCTAGTTTACAGTAATGATGATAACATTCTATCTGTGGTATGTGTGTATGTACCTAATGTGTATGTATTGTGTGTTAGCTGTGCTGGAGCTGAAAGCTATTAAACCTGGTCGGACGGCTATTCGGGGTGTGGTGTCATCGCTCTACCTCTGTGCAGATGCCTCCGGTCAGCTGATAGCACTGGTAAGTCACATCATCAGTTTCAGTAGAATCAAGTTTGTATGTATAAACATTACAGGCTTGAAGTATAGAAGTATGTTTTTAAACCTAGTAATATTTTGGTTTGTGTTAATTGCTGAACAGCCAGCATGGCATGTTTATTACTATACGGTTTCCCCAAAGCAGCTTTTTCCAGGATATCCCATTATTGTTTTATTACATCAGTAAATTATTTTGAATGCTTATACATATATTGACCACACTAAATGTGATCTTTTCAGATGGCAAAAATATTATAAAACATTATTCACTCTTTGTTTGATTTTTGCAAATTTTCACAACATGTTTATTACTATACAGTTTCCCCAAAAATAATAGTCCCACAGACTTGATTCAGTACTAAAACCACAATATATCAACAAATTACAGCATTATATGCAAATTGGTTTAAATTTTAGGTCACTTCTTTAGTTCACAAAGCTTCAGTATAAGTCCATTAATACTGATCACTGACTGAATCATCTGGACCTGGAGTTTTACTACATTCAGATCTTATAAGTGCTTGTAAGCTTGTTGAATGAATTATGACCAAAATCTGAACTTTTGCAGTTACCGGTTATTTTTCTGCATGTAAACATATTCTTTATTCTGCACACCTTTATGGGAAATCCATCTGCTCTGCATCATAAACATACTACTCTTCAAAAAAGTTCACTTTCATGTTTATTTTTATACTCACTTTTGCTTCTAAACTGTTTGTCTGTATTTCACTACACAAGACTTTTGTTCTACACGTTATTTACACATATCTGTTCATCTGGACTGTGTTTGTTTACAGAGTGTGTTTTTGGATGCTGACTGTTCCTTCACTGAGCTACTACAGCCTGATGGATACACCCACTTCCTGTCTGCACACCACAAACTTCCTGTGTCCCTCACTTTAACACACATGTTCCCCTACTCCCAGTTTCTACCGCTCAGAAACAGTCTGATTATAGAGACTAAAGCAGATGAGCAGGACAATCCAGAACACTTTGAAGTAGAGGCAGATCTGGACTCAGATGACCCGCTCAGATTCAGACAGACCGTCCAGAACCTCAGGAGTCCAATTTTTCACATGGAACGATAAAGAAAACTACTCAATCAAAATCACTCTTTACACAGATCAGTGAGAAAGCACTGACACTACTGTCGACTCCAAATGGATGGAAAGGAAATCGTTTTCCATACGATCCAATAAGAAACCACTGACACTCCTGCTTTTCCGAATGGACCAATAGGAAACTGCACTCAACAAAAACCAATTAGAAACCACTGACCGTACTGGATATTCCAAATAGACCAATAGAAAATCATTCTCCATATGAACCATAAGAAACAACGTACTGATGTCACTCACACAGATCTGATGATATGTTTTGTATAGATATTTCTGAGTTTATTAAAAAAGAAGCTGCATTTGATCATTTAACACAGCTGGAAATAATAGCATAACACTTCAGCAAGTTCCAAGTTACTGAACTTAATTGTGATTTACCACCAGCCAGTACATTCTCTGTTTCCATGGCAACACGGTAGACCAAGCTGGCATTGGTCCATCCGAACAGATATATGTGTTGTTAATGTGATAAAGTTAGCCGATAACTGGTTTAATGCAAACTGGTAGATAACATTTTGATGAGTACGGTTCAAATGCACTTCAGTGTTTTATCATGAACAGTTTTTGTTAGTATTAAATACGTCAAAGGATTTTTATATTATATGATAACAGTAAAAATTGTTTATGCTTTTGCTGTTTTATTTTTTAAACTTTCCATTTTCCTGCTTTTAAGTATGCACTTCTGGAAAATATAGTCTTTTTTCTTTCACCACAAAGTTTTCTGCATTTGCTTTTTGATTTTATTAACCCAGTGAACTCTGAGGGTCTATATTGTGGGTCAACCCAGTTTCTAGTTACTAGTTACTACTGTTTTGGTCATTGATTTAGTTTTGGTCTCAACATTATTTAGACTCAGTCTTGTCTTGGTCTTGAGACGATAAATTAAGTCTTTGTATCATCTTTGGACTGTGTTGTTTCAGTCTTGGCATCTTTTGGACTCTGGTCTCAGTCTCGTGGTAAGGTGGAAATTGTTCTTGAGACCAGCCAAATGTGGCCGTCTGAGATCATTCAGACAAAACTTTCAAACAGAATAAAAAAGTCTTTTCTCTACATATTTAAATAATATTTGTTCACTGCTGGTTGAGGATCTAACTGATCTAACTGAGGATCTTTCCATGATGGCTTAACTGGGTATTACTTGTTGATGTTGATTGGTTCCAAAATATTATGACATTTTCATTGATTAATAAAAATGGATGTATGTTGTTTGGTTTATATTCAGTTGACTTTAGGTGTTTTTTTTCCTGAATAAACACTTCTTACACATTTTAATGCACTGTTTCTCTTTAGTTACTGAATTTAACTTCTTGGAAAAAATAAATAAAACATAACATGTAGCCTGTGCAAAAGTTACAACATATTTTATATTTTTTTATTTGTTAAAATCAGCAAATAAATAGAAATTGTGCATTACCCCTCTGGGGTCTGAGGTCATTCTCTCTCGATTTGTTCTTATCTTCTTAAACTCTCCTTTAAAGGCTCTTCATATATCATGAGAACGTGAGAGGCAGATGACGTGTATCTCAGCCCCTCTTCATAGGCTCATAACTCCGGATGTGAGTCTCGTATGATCTCGTGATTAGATGGAATGGAAAGGGCGACTCTACAGATTCAGGAAGTGTTTGAACTGGATTTCTGAATTGGATCATCACAAAGACACACAAACAGATATAGAAACAGAGAATTTGAAGGGCAGATGAGTTTGTGGACCCCAGAGGGTTAAACTGTGCAGAGGTGTGTTCTCTGTAAAGGATGTTTTCACTTATTATCACTTAGAAAATCAACAAAAATGTCATTTGACCAGGGGTGCTTAAACTTTTGCATAAAACTGTATGCTCTTTTTGCAGACGTGCTGTGTTTGTGTGATGAGTAATGGATAATTGGGCAGGGAGGGGTCATTTGAGAAGGATAACAGTGTCTGGAGTAGAGAGATGAGGGTGTGATGGGCAGTGACAGGTTTAAATTTCATTGCAACAGCATTTCTGAAAGCTTCAGATCACACATCCACACTCCTACTGAGACTGAGTAAACTGCACTGTGGCGCTTAAACCTGCTGCTCAAAGTTAACTACAGAGGAACTACAGAAGAAAAGTGAGGAACAGAAAGAGCTTATTAAGAACTAAACAGTCAAACCGAGCGTGATCAGCAGAGCGAGCTCCTGAAACAGAGACAAATCCATCGATGGATCCACACCCAGCTCCTCCTTCACTACTGCTGACTCTGTGAGTGGCCACTCAGTCACAGCCAAGGCAAACTGCATAATCCAATAAACAATTCTCTAAGATGGCCAAATTATCTGGTGAAACACAGCTGATTACTGGCAGCGGTAGAGCTAGTGTTAGTAATAAGGGGAGTTGGGGCGCTGGCAACCCTGCTGGGCATGTTTTAAAAAAATGATTTGCAAAAATAGATGATAGAAAGATTCAGGAAAACATGTTAGATTCATGAGATTTTAGTGGAAAAGACGAGCACTGAATCATTGCACTACAACTCATTGCTAACTTTCAGTGGTCTAAGCAAAACTAGACTTGATGGTTCTTCAAGGGTTCTTTAGTAAATACTTAAATGGTTCTTTGCATGGCAAAATCGTTCTTCAGAGTGATGGAAAATGTGTTGTATGTGTATATATATATATATATATATATATAAGTGGCCCTTTCCATTCCATCTTATCGTACGTACGGGACTCACATTCGGAGTTATGAGCCTATGAAGAGGGGTTGAGATACACGTCATCTGCTTCTCACCGTGCGGAACTAGTGGATTTGTGTGTCCGTCTACATTCTGTGCGAAACTGACCAATGGACACCAAAAGGGTTCTTTTGTTTTATACAAGCTTGGTGTCGTAACAATAGAAAAACACTTTTTGGTGCTACATAGAACCATATACAACATACTTTCCATCAGTCTGAAGAACCATTTCACCATGCAAAGAACCATTTTAGCATCAATTTGTCCTATATAGAAGAATTATATTATATAACCATTGCTTTTACTAAAGAACCCTTGAAGAATGTGACTGGTGCTGTGGGTGCTGAGACTGGTACTGTGGGTGGTGACTGGTGCTGTGGGTGCTGTGACTGGTGCTGTGGGTGGTAACTGGTGCTGTGACTTGTGCTGTGACTGGTGCTGTGGGTGCTGTGACTGCCGTGACTGGTGCTATGGGTGGTAACTGGTGCTGTGCTGTGACTGGTGCTGTGGGTGGTAAAGGGTGCTGGGGGTGCTGTGACTGGTGCTGTGGGTGCTGTTACTGGTGGTGTGGGTGCTGTGACTGGTGCTTTGGGTGCTGTGACTGCCATGACTAGTGCTGTGGGTGCTGTGACTGGTGCTGTGGGTGCTGTGACTGCCATGACTAGTGCTATGGGTGGTAAATGGTGCTGTGGGTGCTGTGACAGGTGCTGTAGGTGGTAACTGGTGATGTGGGTGCTGTTACTGGTGGTGTGGGTGCTGTGACTGGTGCTTTGGGTGCTGTGACTGCCATGACTAGTGCTGTGGGTGCTGTGACTGGTGCTGTGGGTGCTGTGACTGCCATGACTAGTGCTATGGGTGGTAAATGGTGCTGTGGGTGCTGTGACAGGTGCTGTAGGTGGTAAATGGTGCTGTGGGTGCTGTGACAGGTGCTGTAGGTGGTAACTGATGATGTGGGTGCTGTGACTGGTGCTGTGAGTGCTGTGACTGGTGGTGTGTGCGTCGTGGGTTCTTTTGGCACTGTAGGTGCTGTGACTGGTGGAAAAGAGTGGAAATAACCAAGTTTTACGAGGGAAATCTTTTTTTTTTCTTTTCATAAATCCATCCTAACTTGCCTGTTTCTCATACATTTTCATACTAAAATACAAGTTCTCAAATTCCACATGTTGCCAATAACAGTACTTTTGCAAATAAATCTTAATATATAATAATAAATGGGTATTTTCATTATGCACATTTTATCATTGCACACCACATAATTAAAGCATTGATCAAACATTGGGGATTCTCCTGTTCAATAAACAATTTATTTGCAACCCCTTAAATGGCCAGAGCCCACTGTCCAGCTTTAAGTTTTATAACACACTTCTATAATCTAAGAATAGCTCAGCCAGTTTGCAATGGAGTCCCTGTAGTTACTGAATAGTAAGCCTTAGTATATAATAAGCCTGAAAGTTTAAGGGGTTAAAATGATCTTACATTGTTTTTCTCAAAAACAGATGATACAGTTTCTATTGAGAGTTTTTTAGTTGGAGACTGAGTGGGCAGACCCTGCTGCAGCATCGGCTGAATGGGTCGAACTTGAGGTTTGCGAGAGCTGAGCCTGATCTGTCTTGACATTTACTCCCAGAACAGGGTTCCGGTGTGTTCCAGCCTGTTTCACCCCTGTTTCTATGTGCTCTGGGGGCTGTATGTTTAGAGCACATGGTGTTTATGCTGTAAATGCTGATGGTGTAAACAGAGACTCTCCCCAGGCTTACAGCTGTAACACATACCAGAACATAGCACAGCCATGAGGGATCCCTCAGACACTCCATCATCAGCAAACCTGCAGGAGAACCCAGGAGACGACAGCACCAACATCTCACATTACCTCAGTTCTCTATCACACACTTTCCCAGGCATTAATTAAGCCTAGTCTTGAACTAAATTGCAGCAGCAATGGGAAAATGACCATTGAAAATTATTTTTAGTCTAGGCTTAAGCTTAATCTGGCTCTGGGAAACTGGTTCTAAATCCTCTTGACACCCCATAAACCCCCCCAAACACCTCTATTTTTAAACAACTTTTAACCCATGGAGACCCCAGTTATCACAGTTAACAAAGTCATGCTGTGATGTTATGTGAATTATTTCTGACTCATATTTCTGAAAACAAGTAGTAAAACTGTGTGTATAGATTCATGGATTCAATACCACATTTGTGGTTTTAAGTAGGAGAGGCTTCAGTTATCTGCCTTATGATTTGAATACCACATATGAAATACATGGCATTTATATGTA